GCCGATGTGTTCGTGACTGGAGGCCGGCGCCAACGATGATATACGTCGTCGGCTGTCCGAGCACATCTGTTCACTGTGTAATACTGTCGTCACAAGTGCAACACAAAACACGGAATTATTGGGGCCGTTTCGTTCCTCGCTGGTCTTCTACTATTCGCAGATGTTGAACCAGACACAATTGTGACCTATTTGCATTGTGTGTGTGTGTGTTTGTAAAACTGCTCATGCTTCCTTTTTGTTAGTCTCTTTATGGGAGCTGTGTGAATTGCCTTTGTGATTTGTTGTGGTGTTTGAATTTTCACTGCATTCTTTCAGGGATCGAGGAAAGTTTCCTACATGCATGCTGGAATGTTTTGATTTATTGAGCTAATTGCAATACAGGATTTGAATTATTCAGTACAGTTTGCCACAATAAGTCGTAAAAAGCCACGACTCACTGGTTTCCTACAATTTACAAAGGTTAGGAGAACTGCAGACAGCAGTGCACAACTGCACAGCCATGTGCATGTACATGTACATGCATGCGCTGTGCTACAGTATACATGGTATACCGAAAAAGAAAAGAAAAAAAAGAATCAAGATCAACTGTACTGGATTCGAACCCATGCCGGGCACCATGCAAGTGATGAGCTTTCCTGGCTAAAACTTCCGTTTAAAAAATCAAAATCCACTGAAAACCATTTAAAACCGGATTTCCAGCCGAAACCCGGCCGAATATCTAACTTTGACAATTATTATTATTCCGACTCCCAAACTTAATTTTCTTCGATCCAAGACCCACACAAACGCAGCTGTGAAGAAAAAATTTCAAATTTGGAATGAGAACAAACTAAAAAATCAAAATCGACAATGGTCTGTTATAAAAAAACGCACTGCAGCTCTGGAATGCATTTCCATTCATTGCCATTGGCATTGGCACTGCAGACGCAACGACTGTTACCATGGTTACCTGAGCTGAGACTAATAGTACCGGTACTAACTGTTATTACTTCGAAGTACATGTGGTGGTACCGGTACTACCGGTGGTTGAAAACCTGGAAGGTCAGTCTTCGGCTGATTGTTTACTGAGTCTGTAACTGACTACAACCATAACCCGGTTGGCAGAGTCCCGGTCTTGAGTAAAGAGGGTCCGAACCAGGGAGTAGTATTGTATTACTCCCTGGTCCGAACCTGGGTTTTCCCGGTTCAAATGGTCGCAAGACCGGGACACTGCCAACCGGGTTATGGTTGTAGTCGGGAGCACTATGCGTCCTCACCTTGTAACCAGGTAACATGCCGTCAAAATCGATAACTGTAACTTGTAGTTCCTTGCATTGGTCCTTTTTGTTTTCTATAAATTTATCCTTGGCTCTCCATCTATGTCCATGCAGACATTTCTTGCACACGGTCACCTGATGAGCAGCCGCCCTTATCTATACATGTACGGCGAAACGATCGTCGTGTGAAACTGCTGCTTGTTACCGCTGCTTATTGTCCATCTAAATTGTCATAGTCCAAGAACAGTGCTGGTTTACTGAGGCGTTCGGTTTTGCATGAATCTTGTTCGTATAGCTTCCCCCTTTACTCACATCTTTGAGCCACACAAGTAATAGTTGTGTGGAATGCTGCTTTGCGTCCTTGAATTGTGGTTTGTCCAAAGGTCTTACCAGTATCGTCAGCGACATGCATGGACATCCGCCAACGTCCTTCACAGCTGAGATTTTCAGCTCGTGCTTGTCTTGGTTGTGCTCACCTTCCCCTCCTATGTTATCAACTACATGTGCTTAGAAGTTGGAGTGCGCATCCAAGATGTGCTAGACTGCTGTTCCCAAAGACGTAGTCTGAAGGGAGTTCCATTCTAATGGGAGGCTGTAGGGTTGAGATAGCAGACAGTGGATGGCTAATGAATGAATAGCCTAGCTAGAAAATACATGTAGATCTACATGGTATTATAATAATTATTCAGACACATCATTGTACTCGCCCAAAGGTTTACATGTTTTCCGCAGTTGTCTTTTTTACTAAGTCCACTAGGCTCCCGAATGCGGAAAGTGGTGGCGGGGCCCTGCTGCTCAGCCGACCCAGGTGGTCTCGGCGTCTACATGTAGCGCTATCATGCAAGGTGCTGGTGAGGAACAAGAAAGTGATACTTGACAATCCGCACACAATCATAACTCCATTCATGATAGTCTCTGTTTATCTGTCTGTATCCGTTACCCGTGTTAGCTAGTTGCCAGCAAGCCGGGCTTCGGAAACAGGAACATCTGCAGATGCGTCATCCATCCCCTTATGCCAGGGAAAGGGTGAGCGGCCCTAATATAAGGGTCCAAAAAGTTCTGAACTACATAATACGTACATGTATTATATGTACGTCATGTAACGTGAGAAAGGGGAATTTGAGCGGGCTCAAAACGAAAGCAAGCTAGCATCGTAGCAGAACTAAGAATGTTAGCTACAAGATGATGACCTAGGACCACGGCACAGGACGGCCGCGGCTCACATGGAGAGCGCCAAATAACCACCCAACTTAAGAGTTCATGTTTTATCGAAGCCTTGACAAGCAAACAGAGGGGAGGTTACGCAAACACAAAGTCAGACAGACTGGAAGGCACTATCTCGTCGTACATGTACTACATATTGGTTTCAACGGTATTTACATGTACACCTGCGACGCTAGCTTGTACAATCATGTAGAATAATTGCACAGTAAAACCCGTCAAGGCGACCACTGCAACCAGGACCAACGCCAGGGATGCTAACCCCAGTCAAATGAACCTGGATACGGAGACCACCTGGTAACAGAGGCCACGTTTGAAGGTCCCGTGAGCGGTTGTCCTAGGCAGAGTTCACTGTACAGTGAAACCTGTCTAAGACGACCGCTCAAGGGACCTTCAAAACATGGTCTCTGGAACCAGGTGGTCTCCTTATCCAGTGTCATTTGACTGGAAATAGCATCCCTTGGTCCTGGCTGCAGTGGTCCAGGTAGTCACCTTATCCCAGTGGTCGCCTTGACAGGTTTTACTGTACTTGTGGTCAGGTGGATAAACAAGCGGCAATAACAAATACGATTGTCACACGACGTAGACTACGTTTCGCCATATGGATGCTGACGAAGGCGCAAGTCCCCAGTACTGGCAGTAGTGCTAACGCGCTCGCCTTCCCCTTTTTCTCACGTTAATAAGTTCATAACTACTCATACCTGGTAAGGCAGCTTGAAGCAGGGGGTCTTGTTTTGCAGCATATGAACGCCGGTTTCAATCAGTCTGTCCCCACAGGATACCGCAATTCCGCGGATGCGCAATTTTCCGCGTTATTGGCCATCATCCGCGTTTTCGTGAGATTTCGCATAAATCCCGCGTTATTCAGAGAAATGTACAAGAAAATAGTGCATGCTTTTGAAAATGCACTACAAAGTCGTATGGGTTCATGAGTTTGTACGACAAAGTTGTATTCTTGCATGAGACTTATTGCACGCTAAAGTTGTACCAGTGACAGAAAACTCGTGCATAATGACCGCATTAACCCGCATATTTGCCGCATAATCCCGCATATTTGCCGCATAATGGCCTGTTTTCGCCCGCATAATTATGCGCATAATTTTAGGAATTTGTCCGCGTTATTCTGTGAGGACAGATCAGTATACCGTATTTTCCGAATTCTACCATGGTGCGGTACGGAGGGCCTGTTTTCAGCCAACCAGTGCTCGTCTAACATGTTTATACTGCACGAGCAGGAGATCTCCAGATAAGGTTCGTTGTTCTGGAAACGCGTAGGGGTACCTGGCATAAGTAGGATATGACCCTCGTAGTCGGGACACAGTACCCTCATAATTATAAATCCCTCCTGCTATCGCAGTCGGGATTTATATTCAGCCGGTACAACTCTCTGATTCGGGTTATACCCTCAATGTATAAGCCGCACTTTGAAGTTTGAATACTCAAAATTCACCCAAAAAGGGGGTGTGACGGGTACTAATAGATGCATGTTCTCGTGACCAAAAATGGGGGGGGGGGGGGTGGCGCCTTATACTCCGGAAAATACGGTAGCTACTGAAACGAGCTATTGCCAGTGACTAGCCTATGTTCATGACCTTGATGCATCTTCACGGGCCGTCATGGGAAATTGACCCGGCATGTAGCGGCACCAATCATGAAAAACAGTTTGACTTTACGAAAAGAAAAACAAGAGAAGTTGGAACTGCATGGATGCTATAGTAGTACCGTAAAGTACCATTGATCCCCCCCCCCCCCCCCACGCCATGTCGCTTCCCAGCTGGGTTTTCGGCAGGGGGCGGGAATTAGATCAAGGCTGTCAAGTGCAGTACGATGTACAACAACGTAGAAGTTCAGACTCGATGTGCTGGATTGTGCACATTTTCATCCTGGATTTGCAAATATTGTGTACAGCAGTGCATGCGTCGGTTCAACATTGTATTTTCGTTGTATACGCCAAAGTCGCTTCACAGGTAGAAAATCGACAGGGGGCGGGAATTAGAGAGGGGGCGGATCAACGGTACTTTACGGTAGTACCAAGAGGATATCACCTCCTAAGAGTGTGCAACTCTGCTGTATGGGGTCTCCGGCGGAGAAAACTCACATCACGTGTCTCAGGTATGTTTCGTACTACGTGCGAACGAAGGATAGCGTGCGTGCAATCCGAATATCTGCCATGATCATGCTGGGGATTTGCATACGCGTAGTGAGGTTCTGTCAGAGAGCGCCTTTTTTTTATTACTCCGCTGCTCGCTAAAAACGGGCTGGAAACGTGCAACTGCGACACTACACCACGTGATGTGAGTTTTCGCAGTCGGCAAACCCCATAGCAAGGGTACCAGGAGTTGCACACTCTGGGGGGGGCTTATGCATGTAAAGTCAAGCAGTGATAAGCACATGTACAGCTACAGGTACAGCATACATGTGTAGTACTCGGAACGCTACAGGCAGCAGAGCCAGAAAACATCTCTCTCTCTCTCTCGAGCCGCTCGCTTTCCCGGCAGGCAAGACCAAGAGCGGCACAGTAAGTACTTGTACGAATACGAGCGAATTGAGCGCTGAGAAGCGCTCGCCCACTATGTCGGGAGCAATAGCGCACTGGACGGCAATGCTGAGTATTTGTACATAGACTAGCATACGACACATTATCCTTAGCTGGAGTAGAGTTACAGAAGTCAGCGGGCCCTTGCAAATCACGAGTAGCTACATCAAAGTATAAAAAAAGGCAACCTGCATTAAAAATAAGGGGCTATGGACGAATATGGTACAGATATGTACAGACCTTCTATGTAAAAAAATAACTTGCAGATAGAAAAGAGAGAGAGAGAGAGAGAGAGAGAGAGAGAGAGAGAGAGAGAGAGAGAGAGAGAGAGAGAGAGAGAGAGAGAGAGAGAGAGAGAGAGAGAGAGAGAGAGAGAGAGAGAGAGAGAGAGAGAGAGAGAGAGAGAGAGCACAAACGTCGTGCATCCAAGATTCATGACAGCCAGCACACAGACTGGCGAAAACTGTCAGTTCGCCATGTGACTAGAGGAAAACATTCTGTTCAGATACGTACTGTTGAATACTATTCAGGTTTCAGCAAGGTGCCTCGCCTGAACTCCCCTACCAAACAGCTGGTGTTGCTGGTAGAAGGTATAGGCATACTCACGAAGAGTAGACAGCCATCAGTGACATTGTTGCTCAGTGTTTTCAAGATGGCTGCAAGAGACTGTCAATGGTCTTGTTGAACGTTCTGTGGCAAATTGTTGTAAGCAAACGAAAGCAGCAGCAGCAGGGATGGTAGCAGCACGAGCAGCGGTGGCAACAACAGCAGCAGCAGTGCACATGTTCCAGCCATGCTAATAAGTAATATGGCACCGAAATGCATACATAGATCTGAATCTGAGCACTTTGAAAGCCATTGGCACAAAGCCATGGCGAGTGGACAGAACTAGTCGACGAGTGCATGGCGTGAAGTTGACTTAGGCCGTGATGCTTTGGTCAGATCCAGATCCAGATATGTCAGATCCACTGGATCTGCAGTGTTCGATTCGTCGAATCCGGATCCAGATCCTTCGGATTAGGATCCGAGCAACCCTGCCCCAGGAGCAGGGTTGACTGGATCCATCGGATCCAAATGTGACCTTTGTGCGTATATGGCGGGTACAAATCATTTTTGTACGCATTGTCGTACGTCTAGTCGACTTTTGTTGACTTTTTTGTTCACGTTGACTTTTCGTACGACGCGTGCGATCAGTACGACTCTCACCCTTTTGGGTGACCTGTCAGCGCCATTTTTTAGTTCGTCAACATGGCAACAACCAAGGTCCAAATAAAAGTGATCGGTTGATTCTGAAGGATCCGACGGATCTGAGATCTGAATCTGGATCCGGATCCGACCAAACGATCATAGCCTTAGTGTGATCAAACAGAGTTGAAAACACAAGCCGGTGAACAGCACCCATCGGCTATTCAAGTGAAAAAGACAATGACCATCTGGGATTGATAAAACGAGGGCGAAAATTTCCACTCTGTCCGTGTGATCCTCTTGGACACAAGAGCAAAGCATAGCTGAGGCAACCTGTGCAAGCCTCCCTCCTAACACCATCATCTACGAGTACCCGATGTTTTGCACGCGTGAAGTGAACGGCAGCAACTGCCGAGGGTCCCTAACTTCTACTACTAGTACACATCAGTCAAACTATCCAAATGTAGCTACCCAGCTATCGTGGATCATACACAGTATACATGCCGAAGGACTTGGCCAGGGCAATATACAGAACACCGGAGATCCCCGGAAAGTTGCTACAGCTACACATGTACACACGCACGCACACACACACACACATCCCGCCCACATGCACACACGCACGCACCCCACCCACATGCATATGCACACACACACGCACGCACACACACACATCCCGCCCACATGCACACACAGCACAGCACATACCGTGAGACGATGGATTCGCCCGGCGCGTAGAACGGATTGAGGAGGTTCTCGCAGTACGCTGTGTGCAGGGTGCGGAACACCTAACCATTACAACAACAAACAAACGATGACAACATAAGGAACCAGGACCAGCTGAAGCGACACACCACAGCGACGTCATTGGACTAAGCACAAGCAATGCACAAAGGCTGTGATCGACCAACAAAGAACCTACAGAAAGTAGTGACCAATGGCAGGGAAAGAGAGAAAATACTTCGAACTAAAATAAATTGAATTGCCGGTATGTGACAAAAGGCCGATGGCGTACGCCTTTGTATCGAATCATAATTCAATAGTACGGTGAAGCATAAGCTAAGAAGGATCCCGCTGAACACTGTCAGCCAAGGCGTACATGTAGGTGTTGGAATTATTTTCTTGATTGAAAAACTCTACTCCCGCCAAGTCAGCGCACATACGCCCGCACCCACGTGCATGCACATTCACATACCTGCTTGATTTCGCTGTCTTTGTTCATACTGTTCGTGTTGTCCACGATGACGATGAACTTGACCTTAGTATTGGTGACGTAGCCATAGCTGAGGACCAGTCGTACAGTCAAGGACAAACATAATGGCAACAGCTATTCTGGAGTGGCTGCACAAGAACAGTAGCTACCGTATTTTCCACAGTATTAGCCGCACTAGATTATCAGCTGCAACCCCATTTTTTTGCCACGAAATACAGACGTCTACCCTATTTAATACAGAATTTATCACCGTTAATTTGAGCATGTGAGTATAAGCCGCATCCGCCTTTTTTGGATGAATTTCGACTGAATTTTTGAGTGTTGAAAGTGCGGCTTATACTCCAGAAAATACGGTACTCAACACGTAGAGCACCAGCCTTTGTCACAATAGAAAGGTTCCGCACTCCGTAAAGTTGAGCACCTTTGCGTTAGGCTGTGTTTACATGAGAAATTTCAACCCGGGTCGAGTTCAGCCCGGGTTGAAAGTCTGTACGATAGACAAAAGAGGTGAGCGTTTACATGAAGACAGTTGACCCGGGTCAAATACTGATATGCCGCCAAAAGTCCACTTCTACAGTCCTGTATGGTCACGTGAATCCGTTCGCGCGAAATTTGCATCTGCAGTGCCGTTCAAACCTGGCGCGAGATACACACAGAAGTACGTTTGTACGATTTTCTTGACCCGGGTTGATTTCAACCCTCCCCTTGGGGGGAGGGTTGAAATCAACCCGGGGCGAAATTTCAACCCGGGTCAAGCGCAATGCGTCATGAAAACGCGCCATTCATTTTATGCACATGGCGGGTTGAAATCTGACCCGGGTCGAACTCAACCCGGGTTGAAACGCCTCATGTAAACACCGCCTAAGTGGGCGGGAAAACCGTGAATTCGCGAGTTTGCACTCCACTTACGGAACGGTGTCTACGCAGATGACGTAGATAGGGCTCTCATAACGGAGGTGCTCCGTGAGTGGATTGGGGTACAAATGTGTGACTCTCTCCCAAGGTCGACCGGGTCACACACTGTCGCGCCCCGAGTTGCTACGTGATTTGAAAACTCCGTATGGTGGAACACAGATCCGCATGCAGTTTACGTAAGAGTTTCCGTAGATCGACTACATTTTTTACTGACGTAATTACGTTATGCGGAACCTCTCTAATATCTTCTCCATGCCTGATCAAAATACTACGCGATGTACGAGCGCAGCAGTACAGTAAAACCGGAATCCTTCGTATGGATTGTACTTGTATATTCGCACACGGAGTACGCTAGATCAGGGGCGTGTGTTATGCACCGTCACGAGATGGAGCACTCCCTTGCAGTTCCATGTACAGTGAAACAGTGTTCCGTATGTGGTACATCGTGTAGCATAAGAACTAAACATTACTGAATACAGCTACAAACAGTACTACCAACACTAATACTGGTACATACACTCTAATTTCAGAAATTTTCGGTGCTCAATATTTTCGGTATGAGCCCGACTATGAGGGCAAAAGGCCAGGTTAGGTGAACAGAAATTTTCGGTACAGGGAAGCTGTTCCCTATTGGATTATGTGTGTTAGTGTTTGTTCGGTGTATTGAAATTTTAGGTATGAAGCAGATGCACCGAAAGTACCGAAAATAAAAGTACACCGAAAATTTGTGAAATTAGAGTAATCCACTGTGCGCTATAATGATGGGCAGTTTATACCGAAGCTCAACTGTGCGTTATATCTACAGTACATGTACTTTTACTGAAGTTCCACTGTGCGCTATATCCAGGGTACTTTGTACTGAAGTTCCACTGTGCACTATATCCAGGGTACTTTTACTGAAGTTCCACGTGCGTCGTATCCAACGTACAGCAAAACGTGGGTTTGCCGAACCCTGTACAGTGTACCAAGCGGAATCCTGTATTGCCCGGACAGATTCCACTGCACCGAGGGCGTCCGGTTAGGGCAGGTTTTACTGTACTTTATACTGAAGCTCCGCTGTGCGTTGTATCCACGGTAGCTTACTGCAAGTCTACAAACTTTCGGCCCATTCAAATTTCGGCCTCCCAGGGCTAAAATCCATTTCGGCCTCCCAGGGCTAAAACCCATTTCGGCCCATTCAAATGTCGGCCTCCCAAGGCTAAAACCCATTTCGGCCGCATCAAATTTTCGGCCTGTACTGCTGCAGCCTGTATACACTGTCACACTGAACCTTGCAAAACAAAATTTCGGCCGCAACAAATTTTCGGCCAAACTTGACCAGGCCGGAAATAGCCGAAAATAATAAAATCAATATGCGCTGGATATTTGACTATTTGTCGACTTACAGTATGCTGAAGCTAAACTGTACACTGCACACCCTCGATCATTATCTCATAGACAGTGCTTAAAAAAGGTGCAGGAAATTGGCAAAATATCAAGTGTGAGGGCTTCTAGTTGACCGGCAGTGCACTATCAACAAAGGATACATCTTGTAGTCTTCCGTCGGGTACAGTATACCTAAATACATCTCCCTCTGTTCATTGGCCCGACCAGGCGGTGCCCCCACTGCAAAGAAACACACATGCACGCACACGCACGCACACGCACGCACACGCACACACACACACACACACACACACACACACACACACACAGCAGATGAGGCAATTAGCACGCATCTTTGCCACTGCCAGAGTGTGAGCCAGTGTACACACATACATCAATGAAAGGCGTGTAACGTTCGCACATCCGCGCTACCACCGGATATACAACTGTGTTGAGAAACAAAACCTGCTTAGGAAGTTTCGCTCGCGCCAAGGCCACCGCAGCGTTCTATGTGGTGTCGCAAGCGACCAGACACAGCTAGTACAGGTCTACTCTCCATATAACGTAATCTCTGGGACCACGGCAAAATTATGTTATATCGAGAGTTATGTTATGTAGAAAATCGTGTGTAAAATACAAGATGTACCTCAAAATGAAGGGTATTACAAGACGGGTTCAACCGTGCAAACATCTATACACTGTACCACCATTGACACCAGATACCATCGATGCCGCAGAATAGATGCACAATACTATGTCAATAGGACTAAACTGGCTTAGCTTCGGCTACAGCTTGACTGTACCGCGCACGTGAATCTACGTTGTATCGAGAGTGCACACGTCGGGGACCGCGCCGTAGGGTGCGTTATGCCGAGGTTTACGTTATAGTAGGACTAAACTGGCCTAAACTGCCTAGCTACGGCTACCGCTTGATCGTACCGTGCACGTGAATTATGTTGTATCGAGAGTGCTCACGTCGGGGACCGCGCCGTAGCGTGTGTTATGTCGAGGTTTATGTTATGTAGGATTATGTTGTGTAGAACAAAATTTGTATGGGAGTGATGGTGTTTCGGCTCGGGATTTGATTTTTTTACGTACTAGCGAGGTTTATGTACAAGTGAGAGTTCTTATATCGAGAGTAGACCTGTACCTGACTACAGGTGACTGAGGTGTCCTTTGTACAGGTGAATGTAGAATGCACTGAACTAGTAGACGGTCTTGTGCTAGTGTTCAAATGTGTAGGAACATCACACGTGTTGGATTGGCACAAGTCAATACTACAGTACCTTTCTCATCTATCACATCCAGCGACGTGTGCACATAGTAATGGAACTGAAGCTCCGGGTCATCCTTGGCCGTTCGGAGAAATAGAGGCTGATTCTATTATATGGGTGGGCAAGCAAGACAAAGAGACTTCTCCGTCAGGAACACCATGGGAAAAAAGCCAAGTAAAAACAATATCTCGACGTACTTCTTTAGAAATTACTGCAACACAGACGGCAGCCATAGTCAACAACAGCAGAAACCTCTACGTAGTCAGCAACTAACTAACGTCTACATTATAGGGGAGCTGTACTAATAATTGCCAATCAACAGTCCAAGAATCAGAAAGAGACTAAAGTCTTTCACATACAACTTGAAATTGTAATTGTGAGGTGTAGATTATTAATTTTCTGACATTCTGCAGTGTTGCAACGTTGCAATGTTGATGCACTTTTTTTGTTGAAAAAGATCGACATTTTCGAAACTTTTGAATTCTTGCTCATTATTATTGTGCCGTGCAAAGTCAGCCAATCAATGACTATGTTTGGTATAATTGTTGTGGTTCGCTTCATCGTAGTGTAGTCGACTAGTCCATGGCCAAAGGTTTCCATTTTGTGCAGTATTCAATATAAACACGTTGAGCTCAACGATGGTGACGATCGTCTAGAGTTAGCTTCATGTACTATTCCAAGTAGCAGCAATTCCTCTGATACAATTAGATAGATCATCATGCTGAACATTCACTCTCGCTTGAAGACATCATGCCTGAATTTTATGAAGGAAGGTATTCCACCTCTGCGCAAAGTGGAGGAAGAAACTTTGAGGCAACTGCTCAAGGTAAAGAGACAATCTGGCGAGTTCAGAGTGGTGGCCGACCCAATTGAGCAGGTAGGTGCCAATCTACTTAGCCTCGCAATATGCGTAGCCTGGATTACTTCTGAGAGCTTGTTACACCCAGAAGAGACGATGGACTGCAAACTACAGTTAGGGCAAGTGAAATTCGGATCAAATTTGCACTTTCAGAGCCACGGAACGAATTTGATGGCCCCGAGCGCCCGGAACGGCGAATGCCACGGAGCCTTTGGTCATTGGTCCGGATTTTAGTTGCCACGACTATAACAATGTGCAGGTCTCGTTCACCGTTCTGGCAATGAGAAAGTACACGTGTCTGTGGGTTGGCACTTGTGTGTGTGTGTGTGTGTGTGTGTGTGTGTGTGGTGTGTGTGTGTGTGTGTGTGTGTGTGCGTGCGTGCGTGAGTGCATGTGAATAGTGGCGGCCAATTCTTCAGCCTTGCAAGCTGGTGAATGGTGCAATCCCAGCACAAGTTGCTATGGCTTCTGCTGTGGAGTCGCTATCATCGCCAAAATGGTGTGTGTGCGTGTGTGCGTGTGTGGTGTGTGTGTGTGTGTGTGTGTGTGTGTGTGTGTGTGTGTGTGTGTGTGTGTGTGTGTGTGTGTAACTGTGTACGTATTTGTCTGACCGGATGCTTGTGTGTATGTATGTATGTATGTATGTGGTGGACGTATCGGTGTGCAGCGGTTCAATCTTCAGCCAAAAAAGCATGGCAGCTGTACTGTACAGGATAAGCTGGCAGCTCACTTGCAATCACTGGACTACTTGAACTGCTCCGATGTAAGGCTCTGTGTGTTCTGTCCTTCTCTCATCTTCCCTGGTCATACTCATAGTGTTTCATTCTTAATAAAAGTACAAGTGCATGTATAATAACTCAGATGGTGAGCCAAGGAAAAAAAGTGCAACATGGAAATTGTGGGCACAAGTTATGCGATCACAATCTGGTTTAGTTGGTGGACTCGATCACATAACTTGTGCCCACAATTTCCATGTCACATGTATAATACATAAATGAGGGTCCCTGGTTCGAGTCCTGGCGGTGACAGTCAAATTTTTCTTCAGACTGTTCCCGTTTGCATCTTCCCCTCAAACTAATAATAAAAAATTAATAATACTCGGATTTCAGAATTTTTAGGTGCTCAATATTTTCGGTATGAAGGCAAAAGGCCAGGTAAGGTGAACAGAATTTTTAGGTATGAAACAGATGCACCGAAAGTACCGAAAAATAAGTACACAGAAAATTTGTGAAATTACAGTAACCATAAATATAAAGAGGGAAGGTGAGACAATAGCAGTGAAGTGAGAGCTAAGTGCAACGGTGGGTGAAAAACTAATAATTATAACGCTAAAACTGTGTAGTGAGACAAACAAACATGCTGTGCACCTACGAAAACAATTTTAACGCAACTACATGTTTCTTCTGCTTACAAAGATCAGGCTTATGCAAACGAATGTATATTTAATCATTGTTCAGCATGGTTACTCTTCAGTCACGACTTTCCACTGATGAATGTGACAAGAAAATTGCCGTTTTTCTTCACTTGTTGTCTCACCCTAAGTGTCTGCAGGTGTATGATGATTTTAGTTTTTCTGTTCTTTGTCGTGCACGGTATGCTAGTCAGTTGAAAGTACTTGAGGCTGTTTGTATTCGTTTGCATAAGCCTGATCTTTGTAAGCAGAAGAAACATGTAGTTGCGTTAAAATTGTTTTCGTAGGTGCACAGCATGTTTGTTTGTCTCACTACACAGTTTTAGCGTTATAATTATTAGTTTTTCACCCACCGTTGCACTTAGCTCTCACTTCACTGCTATTGTCTCACCTTCCCTCTTTCTATTTTGGCACTGTATTTTGTTCTCGTAACCATAAATATCTTCAGGTTTTAAAGGAGGCGTCCGGTGAAAAATGAACATCTCAGGGTCCGTAGAGTTTTGGGCACTGAGTCGAATGCTCCTTGTCCGAGGAAGCCGCTGCGGTCCATCGTTTGTCAGATACCGGTATTCCCAGTCGAACGCGAGCGCACGTTCTCCCTCATCCGGTGGTGATGTCACAGCATGCAGCTAGGTAGCCGCACAGTTATCTTATGTGCAAACTGGCCACTGTTCGGAGTGCATGCTTTGGGGGAACGGTTTGTTGTAGCCTCTTCGGACCGCGACCATTTGAGGAGTTCATGGGAGATTCCATCTGCACCTGCCGCCTTCTTTGGCTTTAGGCGACGGATGTGTTAAGCAATGGCGGTGGGAGTAGTGCGAAAAGAGGGTAGTGCTGGGAGTTTGTGAGATGCGATACCAGGAAGAGACCGTGCAGGATTTTCCGGTGTTGCAAAGCTGATGAATTGGCGATTTAGAGCATTGGCAATCTGGGTAGGGTCAGACTAGGGGTGGATGCAATAATGGATGAGGGGTTAGTGCTAATGGAGGACACATACTGGCGGTGAGCCTCTCTAGATACGATTCGTGCTCTGTTTCGTTCGCACTTGTAATGCTCATGATTGCCAGGAGTAGGATACTTCCTATACAAGCTGTAGGCATCTCGTTTCCTTTTTAACTGAGCTTTAACAGCACTTGTCAGCCATGGAGGACTTGGTGTACGCCGTCTTGGGGCTGAAGAGCGCGACCGGGTGAGTAGGAAAGCGGAGCATAGACCATGAACCGGGCATGAAGGATGTCATAAAATGCTGGAGCAGTACGGTTTGGATCTCCAAGCTTCAACTGGAGGGCAGCATGCCAGTTGACATTAGCAATGGATTCATTTAGAGCAACTAGGTGAGTGGGGAGAATGGAGGAGATGTCAAACTGACTGAAGTCAGGTATCTGGAAGGAATGGGAGGGCAGTGTAGTGTCGGGTGCAGGTGGTGGTTCGGTACATGTCGGGATGCACAAACGGCCGAGAACAATTGAGTGGTCCGACTGACCGAGAGGGGCTGAGTGGCGCGGATCGCAGATGCTGGCTGTTGTGTCAGTGATCATCAGGTCCAGGGCAGCTTCATTGCCTTGGTGGGAGCGGTGGGTTGAGAATGTGACGTGTTGCTGCAAGGAAAACATGTCAAGAAGATAAGATGGTGGCCTGCAGTGTCTGTTGTTGTTCCATACCAGGTGGAACATTTAGCATTGAAATCTCCCATGATGAGGGCTGGCGAGCCAGGGGTCTGTATTTGAGTCAAGCAACTTTGAAATGAGGTGAAGAAGTTATCTATCACTGACGGGTCGGTGGACGGTGGACGGTAGACAGCCGCGATTTGGATGGGCTGCTGGCGCGTGGGGCAAGCAGAGGTTGCAGTGGATGGCGATATCTCTGCCCAGGTAGCTTTGAATTGCGGACTGCATTCTCTCTACTTCTTCCTTCAGTTGGGCAACTTCTACTTGCAAGGAGACAATGGTGTCTGTCTTGCTCGTTCGAAGACATTCTATTTCTGAAGCCATACCGTAGATAGTCTTGTTAAGCAACTGGAAAGTGGAGAGCAGGTCGCTTGCCATTTGGCCTGGTGACTTCCGTATTCCTAGTCCTTCCTTGCGAAGGACAACAACCAAGTCTTGTCGGCCCATGGTCTCCGGGTTGGTCAGTCCTGTAGCTCGGGCAACTGTGAGCAGCACCTCGTATGTTAGCAGAGCTAAGTCCATATCTTCGTTAGTCACCATATTGAGCCATACATTAACACTAGCACAAATCAGTGTAGGTACGGTCCTGCCGAAGGCAGCTACACCGGCGAAACAAACTCAACCGCGGAGCGGAAAAACTTGCTGTTTTGTTGTTACATCCGAGGTTGTTATATTCGCAGGTTGACTGTACGTATACACCTGGCACACAAACTCGTCTCCTTGAGTACACAAAGTCAGTGAAGGTACACGCAGCCGGGTCTTGAATTTAGTTTCCATTAAATAGTTCAGCCTCATTTGTGCTGTAACGACGAGTCCGCAATTGGCAAGTGACAAAACAGCGAACATATCCCGGGCCTAAAACTTTCAGATCCCGTGGTGCTGTGAGCTTTTAATCGAAGGATTGTGACCGTCATTCTAAGAGGCTGCACTGTTGTTCAATCAAGCAGCGTCCGAAATAGACGGTGTTTGTACCAAAAATCACTATGTGGTAGTCTGGTGGAGTCCAAGCGAGTCAGTATCGAGCAACTTTTTCACTCACATCACTCTTCTACATGTACATGTTGCCGGCTCTGCTTTCCAGAGGCCGGATAATCGCACCGGCTTCGTCTGCAACAGCTGCTCCTTCTTCGTTTGTCACTATTGCTTCACGCACTTCTTTCGCCCTAGCTTCATCTTGTGACGTAGCAGGGGTTTGACGTGGTCACATGCCGTCAAGCCCCCCCCCCCCCCCCCAGATTTTTCGTATCGAAATACCTCTAATACCCTCTGCCGCAGAAACGTGGGACAAACACCATTCGCCTCAGCGCCTCAGACTCTACGTCCCTGAAATTTTCGTTTTTCACAGGACTGTCACTTGAAATTTACTTTTTGTGTCAGACCAGCTTCGATAATAATTATTATTTGAGCCGTCAGATGAGAAAACAGACCTTATCACAAAAAAGTCATATTTTGTTTGTGGTACTACAGTCGTCCCTCTCTAATCCGGCACTTGTTTATCCAGCACCCTTGCAAACCAGCACACTTTCTGGCCAAACCGATTTTTTCAGTTCATTTTCTACGCTTTAATCCGGCACTTGAATTCCGCCTCCAGCAGCGATTTTCTGCAACAAATCACTCAAACTGTACATAATTCGATTTTCTAATCCAGCAGTTGTACATCACATACCGTCAGGGAGCACTGCAACATACACAACACATGTAACATACACTTGGGAATATCTTATGCCAGTGCATAGGATATTCCCAAGTGTATGTTAAAGACATGCATTCCACAAAGTACTTGGATTGACACAGAAAATCTCTGCGTTTTGACGTACGACACAAACATGTATGTTAACAGGTGGGCCGGGTTGGAGGGCAGGATTTGATAATCCAGCACCCTTGTTTATCCAGCAGAAAATGCCGTTGCAAAAGGTGCCGGATTAGAGAGGGACGACTGTATCTGATTGCCAGGAGCACCAGGAATCGTATGCAGAAAACTAGAGTTGATTTGGACCAGGGAAAGCAAAGTTATAGCCTCGACAGTAGGAGATTACAAATTGCACCTCAATTTTGGGTGCAATACCAACAATTGTTTCACCTACTTTGGATAATATTTTCTGTTTCCTTTGACCGATTTCCACAAACTTGGGCTTTCTGGAAAGCTCTGGCGACAAGCAACCCGTTGGGCCCAAATCCGATAGCAAATAAAGCACAGCCCCAGCGCAACAAGCTGCAGACATCGCTTCAGCGCTAGACTTGCGCCGTCACACGAAAATCGCTCGCCATTTCCATCTCCATTATCCCAGGACGCCCAATTTTTTTCGTGAAGATGCAGTGAGAGCTTCCAAGACGTCTGAGCCTGTTGCCGAGATCGTAGATCGCTTGAAAAGGGGGAAACCCCAGGTCTGGAGCGTTTGACTCGCGTGTAGAAATGCAAAGTGCCGTGACGTATCTTGCAGGCTTCGCATCTCGGGAACGCAGCATCGTGCCGCGATCGCGCTTGCTGCATTGGATTCCTTGCAGTTTTCTCTTCGATTTACATACTTGGATTGTCCCAAAAGACCGATATTTGACTCAAATACGACGGTTTGTAGCTTGGTTGTCCAGACGCACCAGTGGGTAAACTCGCCAACTTTCAAGTGCACTTTTCTGCACTGTACAGTTTTTGCGATAAGTTCTGTTTTCTCTTCTGACGGCTCATTTGTATTGCTGCTTTTATCTTTCCCATGCAAGATGGTGGTCACCAGGAGGAAGCCGCTGGCGTGCCGACTGGGCAAAGAGTTCCTCAGTAGCCAGATCCAGGATGTGGCGATTAATGGCCTGCGCATGCAGCCGCTGGCGCAGGGTGCTCGGCGGCGAGTCGTGGTGGACTTCTCCTCGCCCAACATTGCCAAGGAGCTGCACGTGGGCCACCTGCGCTCCACCGTCATTGGCGACAGTCTCGCGCACATTCTCGAGTTCTGCGGTCACGATGTGCTGCGGTGAGTGCCAGTAGGCTATGCATTAGGTGCTTCCCCGTGATGCCTTAAGGGTCACGAGGTGCTGCGGTGAGTGCTAACGTTAGTACTACTAACTACTAGTATATGCTATGCATTTATGATTAGGGGCTTCCCCGTGATGCCTTAAACCCCTTTCTCGAGTTCTGCATTATAGGGTCTGGGCATTGTGTGCTTCATCCCCATCCCCACGCAGACATGACGAACTCAGCCGGCATCCTCTTAAAAACTCCGCTCGGGCGGGTGCATACACTGCCGCATCATCAGCAAACTATGATTCTGTCGGCCGCTGGCTGGTGAGCCAGGATTTCGCTGTTCAGTCCCCCCGGCCAGCCAGTGGTCGTGACCGTGTCTATTGCTCAGCACTGTGACCAATGGCTGCACTGGGTGTTAGCAGGATGAGCTGTGGAATATGTGTGAGCCTGTGGTCACTAGTTCTGTGAAACTTCAGTGTATAAACGTACCTCCCAGAAACGTAACGATCAGAACTGTGTAGCCGAGGTACTGTACTATCTAAGGTAAAATGACTGGAAAGGGATATGCTGTGTCTTCGAAAAGCACTCTATATATCCAATGCAAAGAAAGGGAAAGTATGCTCTACCCAGGGTACGTTGTACCCACTGCAGTTTCACTGTGTCTCTGTTGTATTCTCTGGCTGCACGCTTTCTCCTGTACAGGCAAAATCATGTGGGGGACTGGGGAACGCAATTCGGAATGCTCATCACTCTTCTGCTGGAGAAACACCCGGAGCTTCGTGACTGTGATAGCGCGTCGAAACTGAACATCACACTGCAAGAGCTGCAGAGTAACTACCAGGTATGTGCTGCTGTTAACCGGGAACCCGTGGCCTAGCACGAGGGAAGCATGGCTGCAGCGAATGGGATTTTCGGTCTTTGACCACTTTGGTGGGTCTGATCTACTCGCCTCCCACCTCTTTAGGAGCTGCATTTCTGCCTTGATCCTTGTGGGTGGTGGCGTTCCTACGGATGCGGAAAATTCGGCCTCCAGCCGAGTCTCACGCGGACTATGATTTTTTTAATGTGCTGCTGAGTGCCATCCAACTGTATGTATAAGCGAGAGTACAACGAGTGTGCAACTCCAACTGCCTGCACAGCCTCTCTATACAGTGCTGTGAGGGCAGAGCTTCACATCATGTGACATGGTTCTGAAGGCTACACTGGCAACAGTGCAAAGTGATCATGCAGAGTTCAACGCAGGGTTCTGTACAACCCTGTGTCTATCATGCACAGGGTGCAATATAACGTGTACGAGTTTGTCACGTGATGTGAAATTTTTCCGGCGCAAACCCCAGACGCCGGAGTTGCACACTCTTGGGGGTCATGTAGCAGTTACTCTTGGCAGGGTTCTCGCCAGAGCGACGTAGCCGGGCGCTGCGCCCTCCTTCACTTGTTGACTACCCCCTCAAAATGAACGTGCCACCCTTCAGAGTTCAATCGCCACCTTTTTTATATGCATGATGAGGACACATCCTGTGGAGTGTAGTAGCACAGCATTGTATGAGTCATTGCCCCCCCCCCCCCCCCCGTAATCTTCACTCACCTCTGTGAAAAAAATTCACGGAACGAAAAAGCCTCATTTGTGCTGTAACAACGAGTCCGCAATTGGCAAGAAAAAGCTTATTTTGACCCTCTCCCACCCACCCACCCCCTTGAATGAAAAATATATTGTCTTGACAGCTGGAAAGGATTGATGTTTCAGCTTTCAATATCTTTCGAAATGGAACTCTCCTCGAGCCACCCACCCATAAATGAAACTTTTCGTTTCGTGTAAAAGATCGATAATTATGGACGGCCGCCAGCATCCATAAGGTTCACGGTGTTGTGTCCCGTAACGTGAGTATAGTTGTGTATTCTGTGTGTGAGCCAGGTAGGCCCAGACAGATTCTGCTCCGCTCGCCTCGATATTTTGCCGCAAAATGTTGCTGCGAAGTCTTCGATATTTTGCCGAGCCTGGCACAAGAAACTCGATATTTTGCTCCATTTTGCTCCGCAAAATGTGTATTTTATCCACTTCCCGTACAATCCCGCACAATGTTTCATAAAAATCGCAGGGTCGGTTTCTCAACACGGGTTTCCGTGCACGTGTCCCTGAGTTCTTCTAAAATCATGTCGATCCACAGTGAGTCCCGGTAATATTTCGGTGACATGATCTCGTCCTTGGCAGTGTATCCTGCTGAACGGGTAAGAAACAAGGAAATCCAAGTATCATGCATTGATTTTGCCGGCAATTTCCACTCTTTCAATTCTTCGATATTATGCCGAAAGAATTGCCAGCAGGATCTGTCTGGGCCTAGAGCCAGGCTCGGTGAAGCCTGTGTTCAATGTCATGACATCACCCATGGTCTGCTCCACCACTTGAAAAGTGCAGAAGTTGTGTCGAGTCTATGCTACATGTACTTTAGATTTTACAATTGAGAACGGGTTTATTCACGAAGCCCAATGGCAAACCAAATTCGGCAATAAGTAGAACACTCGATTGAAGTGTAAGATTGAACTCTAAAGCTTGACAAGAAACCGCTACCCTTTGTTGAGTCAATGCTACTTCTCTCGTCTCTGCTACGCTGCAGGCTGCGAAGGAACGCTTCGATTCGTGCGAGCAGTTCAAGAAGGACTCCCTGGCTGCCGTGGTGCGTCTGCAGGACAAGCAGCAGCTGGAGCTGCACCTGTGGAACAAGATCTGCGACGTGTCTCGCGACGGTAAGTCCTGTGCCTTCATCACCACAACTAGTACAGTTAGTATCACCTATATATAGCGTTGGTGTTTGATTTTGAGCATTTTATCACTATAAGCGATATATTACTATGACCGATACTGCATGCAATGTATGCGAGTGGGGTGTCAAACGACTCAGCGCGCCTTGCACATACGCACTACATACATGTACATGTACATGTAGCTGGCTGTAGCTCCTGACACACAAAATCAGCATTTCCTCACGATGGAGGCATATTTTGGCAACTTGTACGAGCAAAACTCGCCAAACAACACTCACTGGACAAGTTCTTCACGAAGAAGTAACACCCTGTTCTCCTCTGACATCGCTTGATTTTACATCAATCATTATAACCGATGCAAGGTCTTTTGCAATATGAATTTGATCACTATAGACGATTATTACCATATGCGATAACTGTGTATACTTAGTTATGGCAAATGAAAATGAATTTGAGAAATTGATCACTATATCCGGTATATTACTATCCGCCAACCTTATAGGCGATACGGACTGTATGTGTCGGGCGGGTTCTGTGGTAGGTTCATGTTCCCGCCCGAAAAATGGGTACTATTGATAGTATCCCATTTGGGGTAAAAAGCCGGGGGTTCTCAATAGTACCCCATCTTTTCGGGCGGGGACATGTACCTACCACAGAACCCGCCCGGCACATACTACTACCACACTCGTCGACGGTGCGGGGGAATGCTGTGCGAAAGTGAACACTGGCAAACCTACGCCAGTACTTGTCACTGGGTATTCGTTTTACAAGTATTTTTACTTCAATAACGCTGCGTCGCCGGGAAAGGGAAATGGGAGAGCATGAGAAAGACAGTAGTAGAGACCACTGAGACCATGAGAAAGACATAATTGGATGCTTCACTTGAGCTCTTTGTTAGTGTTCATGAGTAACATGCGTACCGGTATCTACTGGCTAGGCCCAGACAGATCCTGCCGGCAATTCTTTCGGCAAAATATCGAAGAATTGAAAGAGCGGAAATTGCCGGCAAAATGGGAGCAAAATATCGAGATGTTGGGTAAAATCGATGCCTGATACTTGGATTTCCTTGTTTCTTACTGGTTCAGCAGAACACACTGCCCAGGACGAGATCATGTCACCGAAATATCACTGGGATTCACTGTGGATCAACATGATTTTGGAAGAACTCAGGGACACGTGCGTGGAAACCTGTGTTGAGAAACCGACCCTGCGATTTTTATGAAACGTTGTACGGGATTGTCCGGGAAGTGGATAAAATACAGGTTTTTCCGGGGCAAAATGGAGCAAAATATCGAGTTTCTTCTGCCAGGCTCGGCAAAATATTGAAGATTTCGCAGCAACATTTTTGCGGCAAAATATCGAGGCGAGCGGAGCAGAATCTGTCTGGGCCTACTACTGGCAGTCCAACAGGCCGAGAGAGAATTGTGTGTGGCGGAAACTACCATATTTAGCAGCGGAGCAAGACCAGTATCTTCCCTGTGTTCTTCCCTGCTGCCTCTTCCTGGTTTTGGAATATCTCATAATGTTCTCCTCCGGCACTGCTTTGTTGCTTGTGCTCATGCTTCCATCCAGCTTACAATGATATCTACCGGCGGCTAGGCGTGTCGACCACGGAACGAGGGGAGTCGTTCTACGCTCCGTTCATTCCAGACATGCTCAAGCACTTGGAAAGTCAAGGTAGGTTGGGCTTGACTAAATCAGAAGGCATTACTTGAAGTATAAATTATTACAACATATTTAGTTGTCGACTCTATTAGCTTTATTATAGCAATCAGCAGAATCAGCGAAGCCAACATTGGACGTAGTAATCAACAAGAATAAAATATGGATAATAAAATTTCCTAACCAGTTTTCTAGAGACATTCATCAGGGAAATACGTCCGCTTCGCTGATTCTGCTGATTGCTATAATAAAGTTATTGTCTCCGCGCCGCCTACTCTATCTGGTGTTTGGCGGTTTCCTGTTTGTCAGGTTTCTCGGTTTAGAAAACAAAAGTCTATCCCCTGTCTGGTTTTGTTTGGGCTTTCTGAGCCTTTCTCACTGTCTCACTTTCATGATCTTTTTGCTTAGCGCGACCGATATGTCAATTTTGTTTTTTTTAATTCTGGTGTGCACGTGTGGGTGTGGGTGCGGGTTCGTGCATGCACGCATGCAGGGGCCATAACCGCGGACGACTTTGGCCGTCGCATCGTTCTCTTGCCGGGCTTCAAGGTGCCTCTGATCCTGGTGAAGTCTGACGGCGGGTACACGTACGCGGCCACCGACATGGCGGCGATCTGGCATCGCATCAACGTCGTCAAGGCAGACTGGCTGGTCTATGTTGTAGACAGTGGACAGGTTGGTTGGTCTACACACTGAATGGGGGACAATGTAATCGTGTAGAGCGGTTGTAGAGAGGTGTTACGTATCTGGGATTGGAATCGGTCTATTGACCTGCAGAGTAATAATATCAATGGCGGCCATCTTGTGGAACAGAGTACTCGTTGGAAACAGGAAAATTAATAGAATCGATGCTGAAAATGGCATGCTCTTGATATGATGTGAGGTGATGTTATATCTCCATGCATTCTCTTACACAACACCGAAGTCGGACAATAACTTTCCGAATTGTGAGCCACTCGAGACGAACCTTTTCCTTGTGTGGTATTGTGTGTTGCTCCTTACGTGGGAGCTCGCCTGTTTCCTGCCAGCTTGCATTCTCAGTTGACTGACTCGCCACTGCCACCCAGAGCACACAACAAGTCCATAGAAACCACTTAGGGAGCAACACACTTATTCCTCAAGTATCGCCAATGTCGCTGCAACCTCTTCTTCACAATGTCAAGGGTGTAATAATGATAAAATACTACTGCCACAGCTTCGCGTACTGACTTGGTGTACAATAGTATGCACATAGTATGCACATACTGGAAAACTGGAAAAATTCGGTGGAGATTTATTTTCAGTAACTTCAGGACGGGTAATTTGACCTAAAATAAAACGTAACCTAAAATTCGACCATGCCAGGCCACACAGTGTGCAAAATTCATTTTTCGATCTGGAAACCTGGCTTACCAAAATTTAAACGCTACCGAAAATTCCCGGGCTGCAGTATAGTAGCCAGTGTTCCTCTTCTGTTCCATTCGAATGCTTAGGTATACATTTTAGAGTAAGTAGTCTTCTATGATCATGTGTGATGATGATGGTGCACCGAGCGGTGCGGTGTGTTGATATTATTTTGTGACTTATCTGCTGTTCTCCGGTGTGGTGCAGTCGCTGCACTTCAAGTCGATCTTTGCCGCGGCGCGCCGGTTTGGCATCTGTCCGGACACAGTTCGCCTGGACCACGTGGCGTTTGGCCTTGTCACGGGAGCGGACGGGTGAGTTCTACGAGTTGCTGTTGTGTCCTGGCTTTGGTTTTTCAATCAACTCAATCTACGGACAGAACTGTTTCGTCCTTTGTGGACTCATCAGCGCAGCACAGAAAATGAGGCCGAACCTGATAGCAATGAAAAATAAATTTTCCAAAGCCAGATTTAAACCAGGCCCGAATCAACAAAGTTTCGAAAAAGTTGACTGCTCCCCACACTGGAGCTCGCGCTTTTCCTGCCGACTTGAATTCGCTAACTCACTACTGCCATCCAGAGCACAAGTGAAGTCAAGTCGGCGGGAAAAGCACGAGCTCCAGTGCTGGAAGAAACCAACTTTATTATTCCCGTAGCTATGCAGAAGACGTTACTTCAGTAACGTCTGGCGCTAGCCAGGGTCCACACAGCTTTAATTTGGTGTTTGTTTGTTTGTTTGTTTGTGTCACGGCTGGAGCTATCTTGTATCTGTCCCGTATCTGTCCCGTATCTGTGACTACAAAGGCTCTACAGGATTGTACATAATAGCTGTCCACAATATTTGCGGGCTCCTGTATCTGTCCCGCACCGTACCAATATTCGTCGTATTATGTATACGACTCCCTGATGTAGAGGGAGATTTGGAAAGAAATAGGGAGACGAGGAGGAAATTAAATTAGAATACACGCCGAATAGGTGATAGGATGCGTCAGCATAAACATACTTTGGAAGAGAGATCCCGTCGTCTCCAAAATAAGCGTGAACGAGCGATTCAGCGCCGGTCACAGGAAACGTCGGAAGAGAGATCCCGTCGACTCCAGAACGCCCGTGATCGGCAGAGTCCGCCGGTCCCAGGCAACGTCAGGACAGACATCCCGTTGAGTCCAGAACGCCCGTGATCGGCAGAGTCTAAGCCGGTCCCAGGAAACGTCAGGACAGACATCCCGTCGAGTCCAGAACGCCCGTGATCGGCATAGTCAGCGCCGGTCCCAGTAAACGTCAGGACAGACATCCCGTCGACGCGCAGAAAACCTAAATCTGCAGCCTCTTTTGCCGTCGGACAGGATACGTATTTTAGGAGACTGTAAAGTTATGTAATGTCCAAATTTCGACGTGAGCAGCAGGTCACTCGCGTTGATTTTTCGACGTGCGAGCCAAATAACACGAACTGAACTTTCGCGTCGCAGACATCCCGTCAACGCCCAGAAAAACTAAATCTGCAGCCTCTTTTGCCGTCGGACAGGTTACGTATTTTAGGAGACTGTAAAGTTATGTAATGTGCTCCACAGGCAACCATGCATTCGGCGGCGTCATTGGCTCAACAGGTCAATGTACATGTACATGTATTACTACAAAAAGGCCAGAAAATCCAATTACTGTATTAAAATCAACTAATTTTCGCTGGCGATTTAATTTCGCTGATTTCGCCGCTTGGTACCAACCGGCCAAAGTAAATCGCAGGCCAAAGTTTGTCATATAGGCAAATGATGCATGATTGAGCAATGGATGCATGTGAGAGCAAAAATACCAATCGATTTCAAATTTGACGTGAAATTGCGCGTCACGTCGGAATTAACGTGCATCTTAACCTCTCTACTAGAGAGGTTTCTATTTCTCATCGGCCAAAATTTGTTGATTTACAGTATAAGGAGATAAAAGAAAAGAAGGAGCAAACCAAAAGTAGATGATTATTCGAGAAATAACAATCCGCAATAAATTCTGCAAATACTTTTGCCTAACTCATAATGTTCAAACCGATTGAAACGTTTTTGCAATACAGTGATGTGGCCAATCAACGGAAAAAGACATTTCCATCAGTTCTTATAACATGTACGATGAGCTAGTCAAACAAGCATAAAAGCATAGCGTAGGGCCCTGAGCTTCCAAGCTCTCTCGTTTTGAAGTATATTTATGGCCGAAGTCGCTACCACTGTTTCGTTAAGTTCCGAAAGTATTGGTTATTCTAGCTCTTACTGTAAATGATGACACATTGTACAAAATTTATTTTAAAAATTTCGCCACCGCTGCATGGGGGCAAACTAAGTACTAAAGAGCTGAGGAGATCTTCGCTTACTTATGGTACTGTAGTATGTGACATACACAACCATTCTACAGTTGTGTTTGTGTGTGTGTGTGTGAGAGAGAGAGAGAGACAGACAGACAGACAGACAGACAGACAGACAGAGAGACAGAGAGACAGAGAGAGAGACAGAGAGAGAGACAGAGAGAGAGACAGAGAGAGAGAGAGAGAGAGAGAGAGAGAGAGAGAGAGAGAGAGAGAGAGAGAGAGAGAGAGAGAGAGAGAGAGAGAGAGAGAGAGAGAGAGTAGAAGATTGGAAAGCTGGATACATATACTTCGAAGTACACAACACTAGAGACTTTTGTGAGTGTTCACATGTTTGTGTGTTCCCCTCTCTCTCTCTCTCTCTCTCTCTCTCTCTCTCTCTCTCTCTCTCTCTCTCTCTCTCTTTCTCTCTTTCTCTTTCTCTTTGCAACATGCGCAGGAAACGCATCAAGACTCGATCTGGTGACAGCGTAAAGCTGGCGGAGCTGCTGGATGAAGCACAGCAGCGAGCATACGCCGTCATCGCTGATCGGACAGACTTTCCGGTGAGGGGAGAAGAAGAGACTGTAGTAGTCTGCTTTGCTTAGCCATCAACTCTAGCCGACCTCGATATGGCTAATTTCCCTGCAGTGGTCGTGATGTGCATGGGAACATTGCTGTGTTAATGATATCCGTGTTGACACCAGCTGCAGTAATGCTGCCTCCCAACCTTTGTTATGTGAGGCCCAGTTCAGATAGAGGAAAACTACTCCAAGGCGTCTTTGGTGCCTGTATCAATTAGTTTGCTGTGTGGGCTATGTCTTTGGAAAAATAAGTGTTGGGAAACTTTTAATAATCGTTTGAAAGTCAGTTGAAAAAAAAGTTTCCTTTCAAGTCTGACTCATTCAGCTTGGTTGTGTTTGTGTGTGGCTTATCACAGAGCGAGGAAGCCAAGCTGTCGGTGCGTGATTCCATTGCGTACGCCTGCATTCGCTATGCCGATCTTCGTCTGCCGTCGAATTTAAATTATGCCTTCGATTTTGATTCTGTAAGTCCGTGTGTGTGGGGGGGGGGGGGAGGGGGAGTTGTTTGTGCGATAAATTCGTTACTGTCTATTGCTGCTTCTCCTAGGATCAGCAGCTGCCTGATGGGGAAATTCAGTGTTCAGACCAGGGGCCCAGCCAGGGCTGGAACCTGAGGGGTGCCAAAAATACAATGGCAATTTTCTTTTTACATGTTTATCATAGCTACACCGTCAAATTCAAATACCATTCTGGCAAAACCTGAAGGGTACGCGAGCACCTATCCCCTCCAGTGTGCACTGTGGTTCCGTTCAGGGCTCGCCTATCTTTTTAGGCATGCTAACCAGACAGGGATCTTCAGCTCAGTAAACGGTGGGGTGCTCCCGTGGTCCTTTTATGGTACTGTGTCTGCCCGTGGTGTGTGCACCCGTACCGTGTTCTCCTGTGCTGTATTCACCTGTGCTATATTCACCTGTACTGCGTTCTCCTGTGCTGTGTTCTGTGCTGTGTTTACCTGTGCTGTATTCACCTTTACTGCGTTCCCCTGTGCTGCGTTCTCCTGTGCTGTGTTCATCTGTGCTGTGTTCATCTGTTGTGCTGTGTTCATCTGTTGTGCTGTGTTCATCTGTTGTGCTGTGTTCATCTGTTGTGCTGTGTTCATCTGTGCTGTATACATCTGTTGTGCTGTGTTCTCCTGTGTACCCGTAGATGTTGGATATGCACGGTGACACTGCCGTCTATATGATGTACATGTTAGCCAGACTAAGGTAAGACACCTCAACTCTGTCTTTAAGTCCTAGTAGTTACTGTAAAAGCCATTATTCTAACGAGGCGCATATATAACAATTTCCCAAACGTGACTAGTTTACATGTACCAAAGGGAACGATTCTCACTCATTCTCAACGCTCAATAGGACAGTATATGTATCGAGTTCTGTATAACGATTTCTATTTTAACGACAGATTTCTCCTCGTTAACTCGTTAGAGTTAGCACTTCGTTATATATATGGCTTTTATAGTACTCTCTTCAAGTTCGTTGTCTTTGCTTTGCTTTCTCACTGTTGTACCATGGAAAATAAGTATGGGGACAAAGATAGTAGGTCGTTAACGACTTATGGTCAGTCTCTTTATTTTTTCTGTTGCTACTCTATGGCAGTTGAAATCTTGTGTCGTGCGTACAGTTGGTCACTTATTTGTCGTACTCGGGTTTTCGTTGGCATGATGTGCTTTCCTGCACAGGAGTATCAACTTGAAGGTGAACATGACTGACGAGGAGGTTGCCGCGGAAGCAAGCAAACAAGCACCAGACCTGGAGCACCCACTGGAGCAGGAGCTGGCATCGGTCATCCTAGGCTTTCCCCACGTAAGTTCTCTCTCTCTCTCTCTCTCTCTCTCTCTCTCTCTGTCTTGTCTTGGTGTATGGCCTTGTTTGGCTGTGAACAGGTGAATGGGATGTTTAATACTGGGTGGCATACTAGTGCTGACAATGTGAATGGAGGGGACGGGGTGCTCGTACTGAAGGGATGGGGCACGTTCTCGTTTCACATCGATAGTTGTTTGTTGATGTTCATTAATTTTTAATTCCCGTAGCTATGCAGAAGACGTTACTTCAGTAACGTCTGGCGCTAGCCAGGGTCCACACAGCTTTAATTTGGTATTTGTTTGTGTGTTTGTTTGTTTGTTTGTGTCACGCCTGGCGCTATCCCGTATCTGACGGCAAAAAATCATAGGGATGTTATAAATTTTTCAATTCTCCTATTTTTTCAGGCATATCCTGGGATTCGAACCCGCACTATCGCCCTACATGCATTTCCCCATACACTTCGCATTCATACCCATTCTTCCAAGTTGCTTCACGTTATGATCTTGCGTTTGAAAGCCCTATTTGAATATTGCGGGCAGCTGTATGTGGCCAGCTGTGTTTGATGGTACGGTACGGGAGACGGTGTCGTATTACCCTCGATCGTACCTGTCCCGTACCTATCCCTACCGTACCGTACCATCAAAGACGGCTGGCCACAATGCATATTCAAATAGGGCTTTCAAATGCAAGATCATAATGTGAAGCAACTTGGAAGAATTAGTATGTATGCGAAGTGTATCGGGGGATGCATGCAGGGCGCGATAGTGCGGGTTCGCATCCCAGGTTATGTCTTAAAAAAAGGGATTTTTTTTAAGACCGGGGGATGCATGCAGGGCGCGATAGTGCGGGTTCGAATCCCAGGTTATGTCTTAAAAAAAAAGGAATTTTTAAAGAATTTATAACATCCCTATGCTTTTTTTGTCTAGGTCATCAAGGCAAAAAAGCATAGCGTAGGGCCCTGAGCTTCCAAGCTCTCTCGTTCGTACGGAAAACGGGACCTTGACCAAATAGTATAAAGGCGAACAATGGCGGAACTTGACAGAAATCCTCTTCGGCCTTGTCCACTATAGTGCGTTTCAAAAGTATATACCTCTAGACTTTTCCGAATAATTCGAATTTGGTTTGAGCTTTTTGAGAAATTTCTTCGGGGTATTGCTCAGGCAGCTTCCTCAATTTTTCTCGTGTAAATTTCTAAGCAATTGGATAACAAAGGCCCAATTTCGGAAATTTTATGCACAAAGTGATCACAGATTCTATGTGGTATAGATGCTGGCCTAACGTTTTTTTGAAACCAGAGGCCTTCACTGTTGAAACGCACTATAGTTGTGCAGCATGTGCTGTACTAACGTGTTACCTCCAAGCACTCTGCACCGTCAGTGTGCTATTATTAGCAGCAGCAGCCCATGCCATGGATCGGCGTGTTGCCTCTGCTTGTCGCCCGCATGTGTACAAATAAACGTTTGTGTATCCCTGGATACAGCATGCTATGGGCTAAAACTACATTGTATCTTAGTGGATCCTGCATTAAGCCAGGCGTTAAGCCTTGGATACTGTAAGTGTACAAATTTTCGCCTCATTCGAATTTCGGCCTCCCAGGGGTAAAACCCATTCGGCCGCATCAAATATTCGGCCTGTACTGCTGCCACCTGTGTAGTGCCCTGTCACATTGAACCTTGCAAAACAAAATTTCGGCCGCAGCAAATTTTCGGCCAAACATGACCAGGGCGAAAATAGCCGAAAATAAATATGCACCGAATATTTGACTTACAGTATGCTGAACTGTGAAGCTGGGCTATAACAGTACAGTGCTGTCGTGTTCCGAAGAACTGAGGGGTCAGCCTCGTAGCCTACGTAATATAATACCAAGAGTACATAAACCAGAGTGTGCAACTGTGCATATCAGATCTGAAATAGCGCAGTTCGTGCACTACGTCACCCTGATGAGGTCAGCCAAGCCGCGACTTGCGTACAGCTCAAATTTTCGTGTTTCACAGCAGGGGAAATCAGCCTAGTTTGCATGATTTTAGACGTCCTGTTTTAGGATTTCGGTGTTTTGTGTGACTAGTCGACTGCATGAGCTGCGTACATCCACTGGCAAGTAAATTCACCAGGCTATCCGTATCAAAAACCGAAATCAGGACCAACTCAGTGACCTGCACCACCGTGACTGGTTACACAACTTTTCACCGTACCTATGGCTTACCATGCCGTCAGAAATGACGTAGTGCACGAATTACGCTCCCGCAGGAACCATCCCGAGTTGCACACTCTGGTTTATGTACTCTTGATAATACTAATATTATGTAGCCCCTTCTTATCTTCATGTACTATGCACAGTTGAGTCATCGTGTATACATTGGTATGCTGTGCTTGGTGAAATCCTAGCCTGGTCGTTCCTCGGCGCCCGACAGTACTGTACAGATGTGTGTGTCCCTGGGGGGGGGGGGGGTAAGTTGTTACACTGGCGGTTCACTGTAATGTCGAATTGCGCTGGGTTCCTGAATTAAAGACAACCTGCTGAGATGTTGCCGTCTCCTCAGCTTTCGCCAGGATTTCCTTCGTTGAGCCGATCGCAGTTATGAACTGGTCACGCAAGGCCCTGTCGAGATAAGCTTCAAACTTGCAGTCCATGGCTGCCCGTTTCAATCGAGCCGCGAACATGATCGCAGACTCGCCCTCCTTCTGCAGGGTTTTCTGAAATTGATAGGTGGCAGCAACTACACTGATCTTGGGCTTGAAATAATCACAGAGGAGCTTCAGTAGCTCTTCGAACTTCTTCTCCCCTGGTTTATCTGGGAGGCACGAATTCTTCAACGTGGAATAAACCTGCCCGCATAATTGACTTATCAGCACGGCACGCTTTTTCTTGTCTGCCGCTGCCTGTACTGTCTCGGTTGCATCGTCCGCAACTTGGCCAATGTCATTAGCCGGAAAATGAAAATGGAGTCTCCCTGCACACTCGTCGAAATACCCGGTTTCGAAAATTTCTAATCTGGAGTCGCGTCCTGCCATCTTCGTCGCCACCTGTTATGTCTGGCCTTACGCCAGTAGACTATTCTCCAGCTGAGAGTGCCGGTGGTGCGTTAGGCCGGTGTGTCCAGCTGAGAGTGCCGGTGGTGCGTTAGGCCGGTGTGTCCAGCTGAGAGTGCCGGTGGTGCGTTAGGCTGTGTGTCCAGCTGAGAGTGCCGGTGGTGCGTTAGGCTGTGTGTCCAGCTGAGAGTGCCGGTGGTGCGTTAGGCTGTGTGTCCAGCTGAGAGTGCCGGTGGCGCGTTAGGCCGTGTGTCCAGATATTTTCATCCTTTCTACAAGAAGGGCTACAAGAATGACAGACATTAGAGAGGTTAGGATGCACGTTATTTCCGACGTGACGCGCAATTTCACGTCGAATTTGGCGTAAAACTCCGAATTTCGACGTCAGCTGCGGGTCACTCGCGTTGTTTTTCGACGCGCGAGCAGTAACTCGAGCTGAACTTTCGCGTCACGTCAGAATTAACGTGCAGCTTAACCTCTCTAATAACACAAGCATAGAATAGTTCTAGCCATTCATTCACTCCACTTTCACTGAGACCTCGAAAGGTCGAAACAGCGCTGTACGGAGGAAATTTTATTGTCAGTACAGTACTGTTAGGCGCTGCATCTGCCGCTAGGGTTTACCGGGTGTTAGCGGCCGTCGTGAGTTCCCTTCGGGAACGGACACGATAATTTACTTTATTGTCAGTACTGTACTGCTAGGCGCTGCATCTGCCGCTAGGGTTTACCGGGTGTTAGCGGCCGTCGTGAGTTCCCTTCGGGAACGGACACGATAATTTACTTTATTGTCAGTACTGTACTGCTACGCGCTGCATCTGCCGCTAGGGTTTACCGGGTGTTAGCGGCCGTCGTGAGTTCCCTTCGGGAACGGACACGATAATTTACTTTTTTGTCATTACAATACTGTACAGTATCTACAACTTGGAGTCATGTTGCGGGTGTGGTGAGGTCGGCCAGAGAGCGCATGTGCTGGAGGTAGAATTGCTTTATTAATAAAACAAATGAAAGTTTTTTTCTTCTTTTGTTTGAGCCGTTGGTGGATTGCTTGTGGTGGTGTACCGTGTTGTGCACAGATGATGGAGGAGCAGGTTTCGTTGAAGCTGGCGCCGCACCACATCTGCATGTACCTGGGCGAGCTGTCGCGCGCCTTCACCGCCTTCTACATGCAGTGCTACGTGGTAGACTCCGACCCGGCCACCAAGGAGGTGCTGCGAGTGCACATGAGCCGCGTGGTGCTCTGCAAGGCTGCCGGCGACACCATGCGCAAGTGCCTGGCGCTGCTTGGCGTGCGGCCGCAGCAGGGCCGCATGTGAACAACAGGGCATGGTGACGATGGCAAGCAACGACACATGTTGAGTCCGACGAACCCCTGGCCGCATGTGAAGAAGAAAGGACAGGGCGCATATGGTACGGCAGACAAGCCCTGCTGTATAACCCATGCTCGTTGGCACGGTTTGCTGCTCAGGCGGACCGAGAGTGCTGTAAACATCATCACATGTCTGCAATTTGCTTTACTGCTTCCCAATCCATACCCCACATGTGTGTGTGTGTGTGAGTGTGTAGAACAGCACCCCCATATTGGGGTTTGCTACATCAATTCCACATCACGTGACTACCCCAGGCAGTCACCCAAGACTTTATAAGTCATCTCGTTTGAAACGCACGGCGCTGCCAGTCTGGATTCTGAGCACGGGCCAACTGCAGCACGGGATTGGAGAGCTGGACTCGCAATGCAACCATTGTTCGCTGCGTTCCGCACAAGATGATGCGAGAGGAGCAGGGCGTGCAACTACGTGAGAATCACACCTAGGGTGGACTACAGGCATGCTCCTGCCTACGCCATCATGTGTGTCTTCTTTTCGGATTTAAATAGCAGATATTTATCTCTTGGCGTTCTGGGTGGTGTTGCGCATGCCTAGCCTACATGTACACACGCATCATGGCGTACTCGGCTACTGTCATTCGTCATGCTGTTTCTGTGTATGTAGACGAATGCGTGCTCTGTGCTCGTGCTGCCCATCGGCTTCTCCACTGCTGCGCACGTGCCGACCCAGACTTGCAGAACGTCTGTGACCTGTATCACATGATTCACATCGCATGAGACTCTGCCATCGCCGATCCATGGTGGAGAGTCTGCACGTCATTGCTGCACCCACTTGGGGTTTGTGTAGGCCCACACTTGGACAAACAGCCCACTTCTTGAGAATTGGTTGTGCTTCCCTTCCTGCACCAAAATAATTGTGATCATCGTGCTTAATAATTATATGAAGCTGATATCAAAATAATAGATTGCCTACAAAATGCTTTGAAGTACATGCACTTAGTAGTGTGAAGGGCATCCTTATCTTGTATGCTTGTATTATTTCATTGAGCAGCGCTGCAGGCCTACTACTACTTACTACACTATGTCTGCCACTGCTACTACCGGTAGTAGTACTAGTAGGTTCCAACATTAATAGCAAGGCACTTTGGGACCGAGTCGTGAATGGTTTTTAAAATTATTTCAAAGTCATACACCACACATCCAGCAGCTTTGAAGTCTCTGCCGCAGTGTTTGAATTAAAAAAATGCCTGAACTTCCCGTGGAGTTTGAATGAAAGAATTCTCCCAGCAAAACATGCTGCTGGCACACTTTGTACTACATACAAGCAAAACGCACGCGGTGGGTTGGTGGGGAGCTAGGGTGCCACGAATTAGCAAAGCAGCATGCAGTGAGGTGTCTTTGACATCCTGACAAGCGGCTACAAGGACACAATCCAACCATGGAAGCGCAACCGACAAACACAGAGCGCCGTGCGAATCTTGTCAAAAGTTGTTTCTACCAAATTTGTTGTCATTTAAATAGCAGAGTACAATTGAAAAAAGCGATGTACAGCTGGTATCGAAGTAATTCATTGCATCTGCGATATGCCAGCAGCAGGTACAGTTAAAATTAATTCATTTGAAGCACTACATATACTGAAGAACGAGAATTCATGCTGTGAAAGGGGGAAAATAGTCAAAATATACCAAACATAAGGATACAGCTTTTTGATACGAAAAGGGAGTACGCAGCACTGTGACAGTGGACTGCAACAGCAGCTCCTACTCAATGGCTATCAATGTACACGGGGAGATGGAAACATCGGCAAAATGCAGACGTGCAATGCTTTCATACGTTGATAACTGCGACAAATATAATAATGTGAGAGGGGGGGAGGGGTCATGTGCAGTGGGCCTATGTACAGAGGGGTCTGTCTATGTGAAGGGTTTGCGAGGGTGACAGATCTAGAACACCATGTAGCGCAGGAACAAGAGCATTACGACGAGGATCAGTGCCATCGCCGCCCACATGGCGTACTTGGAGCGCAGGTTTAAATAGGCAGCATCCTTGCGGAAGATCTGCGACTGGGAGGACAGCTCCTGCGCTTTGGACGCTAGCGCTGAAACAGAAACACGAAACAACACAAGCGAGCCACGGGAGATGAAGGCAGCTGATCCCAAATACGCTTAAGGAATGGAGAAAAAGGGACAGTCTTGCAGCAATGTACGAAGAAAACCGGCATGCATCATGTGCTAACACTTGTACTACTTCATCATAACTGCCTTTGAGTTGAGTTACCCAAGAGGATATTGTTACACCTCCAGCTACACTGGTGCTATTCGAGCAAGACATGCACACCCGTCGAGAGAAAGAGAGAGAGAGAGAGAGAGAGAGAGACGGAGAGAGAGACAGAGAGAGAGAGAGAGAGAGAGAGAGAGAGAGAGAGAGAGAGAGAGAGAGAGAGAGAGAGAGAGAGAGAGAGAGAGAGAGAGAGACACACACACACACACACACACACACACACAGACAGAGATAAAGAGAGACAGATGACAATGAAGTTGCAACGCAATAAATACTGAATGGCTAAAGACAGTGCACCAAACATGTTTAGGGTTTTACGTCGGGCCCTAGACGACGGCTACTTTGGCCAACCGGACAACAAAGAAGTTGAGGCCAAAGGGAGTGATTTATTTTCTTGCGCATGCTTGTATGTATGAAGTGACGTAATAGGAGTCAGGCCGCTACACATGCACGAATATATACAAGTGCACTGGTCATTCGTACGAGAGCAGAAACAACAGCAGCAGCAGTAGCAGCTTAACTTACATGTCATATGCTCTCCGCGCTGCAGTACATCGTCGATGTTTTGCACCATGATGCGCTGCACATCCACTAGCTCGTCATTCAGCTTCTTCACGCCGCTCCGATGCGCCCGCGAGTCCACGTACGGTTTCTTGAGTCTCTGCAGGGCAGTGGCTGCGTGGCAGCATAGAAACCAAGCAGAACAACGCACACGTGTATGAAAAGTTCAGTGTGTGATTTATACCAGTCCAAAACCTGGGCACAACGCACATGGCAGACACATGCAGAAAGTCTCAATAGTGTACAATACAAGCCACAACATGGCGTTGGTTACCCTAGATTGAGTGCCTGGTATGATGGCCAGTTTTGCATGTGTAGTGTTGGCGGTGGCCGTTCGGGTACGGACTGTGCACGGTCCACACCCAACCCGTGCTCTCCAGCTGCCGGCAAGCAACCGGGATGGCATACTAGTACTGTATGTGCATGGGCCATTACGCACATCCACAGGCCATGCAGAACTGCTACTGCATTGATGAGCCAATGCAGCACCGCCACCACCACCACCATCAACAGGAGTACGGTCAATGCGTGATGAGTCGGCAACCAAACCGACCACTCACCGAACTCGATGAAGGCGTACGGCCGCTGCGCGCTGGCGACCTGTGTGCTGTGCATGTTGGAAAACTCCTCGCGCAGCTCCTCCAGGTAGCTGAACGCCATGCGCTTCGAGAACGTTTTCTCGCACAGCGCCATGTAGCACACATTGTCCGCTACAATGTAGCTGCAGAGGGCACACAGCACATCGGGTAGCACAGTGCACGTGTCAGACAAGATGGGGTGCTTCAGTGTCCGAGCATAACCAACATATATGATGATGTACAGCAGTGCTGTGAAATCTGGTCAAATCAAAGACAGTCGACTCCACTTATAACGAACTCGCATATAGCGAATTGTGTGATATAGCGAACCGTTACCCATGTCCCAGTTTGAACCCACAGTGAAAGAGCATTTCTGTTACCTGGTATAACGAACTTCAGCTATAAAGAACTAATGCTCATGCGCAATGGTGTTCGTTACAGTATATCAGTAGTCGACTGTACTTCAAGCGTGTTCTATTCCTGGCATTCCTGAAAACAATTGTGTTATGAAGTGATGACTAGGACCATTGATTGTGTGCAAGGTGATAATGGCCACTATCAGACACCGTTATACTGGCTGAGGTTCAATGAATGTGTTCATTCATGAGCCAAGCTGTCTTTTTCATCAAGGATGAAATCCTGCTTACTGGAATAAAATTTCTCCGTCATCCACGGTGGAGGGTGACGCTGCATTGGATCCCAGCTTGCGGAACAGTTGTTTTGCTTTATTCTGGTACTCGGTCATGTCACTGCGTCCAGTCTTGAGTCGATGGATTCGAACACAATGAAAGTTGGAAATATAGGCTCAGAATAGAGAGTAATGGACAAAGAAAGAAAGTGTTCTCTCTGACTTACCTCTTCCGCTTCCTGGACGCTGCCTGATAGCAGGAGGCCATCAGAGGCTCGAGCTATGAGCGTCAACAGGACCATCCTTGGCCTTCGAGGTGAGTTCAGAGCACAAATACTGTGTTCTTGTTCAATCTAATAAATTCGCTGGATACTTTTTTACACTTGACGACGTCGAGGTCGACTGGATCACGATCGTGCACCGGGTTTTTTGTACGTGTCCCTACGTGGCAAAAAAACGGCCCCTTTGTGCAAAATTTAAAACCATAATTATTATCGGCATAGATCTACGTCATCTCTGAGGTTTTCCTAGATCCATGGATGCCATGATCAGATGATTGCCCATGTCATGAATCCATGCAGCATGATTCATGAATCATCCACACTGCGTTGATCTACTAACTATACTGTCAAGAGTTCATAACCCCCAAGAGTTCATAACCCCAGGGGGTTATGAACTCTTGGTACTGTCCAGTGCCTTTACACACTTGTACTAAGTTGTAGTGTCCAGGAGTATTGGTCAAGACGAGTCGACAATCATTATCTCGACGTCTCAAGTCGTCAAGAGCATGACACAAGTCATCACCTCTCCCCCCTCCAGAGTTTGGTACATGGTGCGGCTTGAACAGCCCAATGGTACATGTTATTGGCAGTGTTACCTGTAACCTGGTGACCATTGTGCTCTTAGCCTTAGCATAGTTGAATACCTGTCACTTACTGAACTTGAACCCAGCATTAGCAGTCACCCTGCCAGTGGAAGGAATAGGGAGGTTTATTATTATTATTATTATTCTCGTATCCGTCCCGAATGGGACTCACGACGGCAGAATTAACCGTGAGCATGTGTGTGTGAGAGTGGGAGAACGAAATGAAAAAGAAAAGAAGTCTTGTAATAAGGTCAAATTTAAGAAGAGCAGTACTAGACTAAATGGCTGAGCAGATGTTACTCCATTGTTTTCTGTCGCGGGCATAGGTGCCGAGATCACGAAGGCAGCTGGGCTTAAAAATGCAGATAGGTGTGAGGCGGACGTCTCGCTGGAGACTTGTGGTGAGGCAAGAGCGGGGTGCACCTATTCGAAAGGGCTGACTGGTAGCATATGTACAGAAAGCAGTGAGAGCAACATTCGCAGGGATGTCACTTGGCTGGCGTAATATATGTCCTAATAGCTTCCACCTGTCCCGCTTGGCCATTTCAGATACAGAGCACTGGCCAGTAACAGCATATAAATCTGCATTCGAGATGACATCTGGGTAGGTAATTCCAAGGGTACACCGCAGCTGTTTCCTATGAAACACATCTAGGCGCTTTTCTTGTGCACGGGACAGGCCATGGCAAGCAAGGTTGTAGGTCAAGATTGGTAGAACGAAAGTGTTGTATAAACGAATTTTGATGGGTGTAGAAAGCAGGTTGTGTTTGAACCATAACTTCAGAGTGTCTCCAAATGCTCTTGCGGCCAAGCCAATACGGCGCGTTACGTCCTCCCCGGAGCCGTATAGCGAGCCGAGTGTCTTCACCTGTCGCCAAGCTTCTTTACCACGAGTTGTGCCGACCTTTCTAGATGTTGTAGAGGTGGCATCTCCCAAAGTGGGTTCCAGGTAAATACGGATCCACTCAGTCTTACTGGTATTGACGGTAAGACCCCATTCGGAGAAGACGCCTGTCATCGGCGTAAGCTGTTTCTTCAGGTAGAATGTTGTCTGCTGATGGTCGGGCTGGCAGTCGGTCACGTACCATTCGTAGGGCTGCTTCCAAATAAACCGTGAACAGTACCGGTGACAAACCATCGCCCTGGGGGACCCCCCGAGCTGTCTCAAAAGGTGCGGACTGTGCTTCGTTCACGCGAACTGTCAGCGCCGTGCCAGATAGCAGGTACCTAACCAGTCGTAAACCGTCCGCGTCTCCAATTTTCTCTTGCTCCATGACATCAAGCAGCTTTGTGCGGTTTATTGTGTCAAAAGCCTTGCTCAGGTCCAGCCCTAGCACGTAGATGGTAGCGTTGAAGCGTTCAACAATTGATGCCAGGATCCGTTTGCAAAACACAATGTCTGCGGTTGATCTGTTTTGACGGAACCCGGCTTGCGATGGAGATATATATCGCTCTACGTCAGCTCTGATCCGGCTAAGTGTGATGAGGGACAAGATTTTTCTGGCAGTAGTCAGCAATGTTATCGGACGCAAATTGGGAGGTTTCGCTCTACGTAATTACGTATGAAAATCCGTATGTCGTACGCGCCGGGGAGCGAGGGCAACTTTCATACGTAAATCTCTCTACGGATTTCCGTAGGAAAGCTCTTTCCTACGTTGGGTCCTCCGTAGGACTTTTTGAAATATATTAGAGAGGTTCCGGGGTACGATTTTCCGTGCCAAAATCCGTATGGGCGCTACGGATTTTTTCCAGGCGTGCCCCATACGATTTTTCGGCACGAGAATCCGTGTGGACTGGCTTTCATACGAACCATGCTTCGTATGGAGATTTTGCGTCATCGGGTGCAGAAAGATTTTTCGCGTACAAATTTGGTGCGAGAAACATCGATTTTTCGCGGGAAGTTTTGATTTCGGTACAAATTTTCAAAATAAAAAGGCATAGCGCGGGAATGTGACGTGTTTGCGATCGTCACCTAGGCAATGACGGCACACACATAAGTTCCGTACCCCGGAACTTTTCACTGCTCGAAAACGACGTATAAAAAATCCGTAGAGCCTCCACGGATTTTGGCACGAAAAATCGTACTCCGGAACCTCCCTAATATATTTCGCATTTTCCGCATTTGTCCATGGCAACATTCAAGCCGCGCGAAACACAAGGTACACACACCGTACGCCACATGCAAAATATAATGGAAAACGCGGTTTCGGTTCACGGTGCATGCGGTGGGCGCATGCAGCCAACGCGTCTCCAAAGCAACAACGTTAACGCGTATTTAGCAGCTGAGTTCATGGTGTGTCCTCTGTCTTCAACGCGGCTGCAGGGCTAGGGGTGTATTCACTCGTGCAGTGCGAATGATATCACTGGTTGATATAAGAACACCATCTGGTTTGAATAGCAGCATGATGACTGATGTGAATAGAAGCCTAGCCCTGATATCGCCTTCTACAGGAATAAACCCGTCTTTAAATCGAATACGCGGCATGACAATCAGGCAGTCGTAAAAAAAGGTATTTTACGACTCCCTGATTACAACTTCAATGTGATTATACATTCACTGATTGTACACTAACCTTGTACCCTGCAGTCATCCTCAGTGGGAATCTAGCTAATGTTTCGGCCGGTGTACCAATGGTGTACGTGCACATATCCCCTCGTAGAGGTCACGGACAACACAAAGGTATTAGGGAGGTTTCGCTCTACGGAATTACGTATGAAAATAACGTATGAACTGCACGGAATTTTCATACGTAAAAATCAGAGCTGTTGGGTTTCGCTCTACGTGATTTCTCCACAACTAGACTCTGTGTTCCTGACGACAATCATTGCAGCTGCCAGGGTCTTGGTTACCGCAACTCACAGTACACGAACCGATTCAGGGGCTCGCGTTCAGACCCTTTTGACGACTAGTCGTCAAAAGGGTCTGAACGCGAGCCCCTGAATCGGTTCGTGTACTGTGAGTTGCGGCGACTATCGTGATGTTTTTGTTTTTGTTTTTTTTTCATTCTGGAGTAATAGTAGATCAGAAATGAGCATTCCTAGCAAATGAAATTGTGCATATGCCAGCATCTCTAGAGCAGAAAAGAGTCAATAAATATTGCCCTGGTGATTAAGTGACATATTTCAACCGGCATTGGATTGTTTTTGCTTCAAGGAATTGAAAAAAAGAAGTAGAAAAAAGCTCCACGCATCTTGAGACACACTATAGACGTGTGGGTATGAAGTGTTTTTAAATGCTGGCATCAACCTGGTCAAGCAACGTGATCAAACAGCCTATCAGTGTTACAAAGCTGATCCGCTTTATGTATGTGTGTGTGTATGTTCATTCATAGCATGCCATGGGATGTAAAAGAAAACAATCCTAAGGCAGCTACAGCCACCGAGCAACGTGCGCCGGAGAGAGAAACCGGCTAAACCGACACACGCGCAGCATCCTACGACCGCTAGCGGCTCTCTGAGTCTGGAGCCGCAAACGCTTTCCGCAGTGCGTCCATCTTGGCGTCGCTGACTGGCCACTTCCTCTTGCCGGCCTCGTTTTGCAGGAAGAACACCTCTGTGCCGAAGGACGCCGTGAAGTTAAGTTGCCTAAGTACACACATGCCACACATACACACAAAGACAATCCACTAGTATCTGATACAGTCAGACCTCGCTTATCCGGTCCTCTTTTATCCGGATCCCTCGCCATCCGGAAGAAAATCATTGGTTACCGATTTACAGCATATGTCATGCATACACACAGTATGTGTGTTTGATTATCCGGTTCTCTCGCCTATCCAGATATTCACAAACAAATTCTACGGAGATAGAGAACATACGACACTTGACGTACTTTGCGAGTCAGTCAAGCCCTAGCGGTAAGAACAGTGTCAGCTCTACAGCCATTTAATTTGCACCTTTGAGGATATTGGCAGTCCGGAGATGAAATTCGAAAACGTTTCTTGGTGTACCTACGAGGCTTTCTCCGAAATCCCTTTGTGTCTTTTTAAACTTTTGAATATAACATGAAGAAGTTACCCAACATGAAGAAGTTATATATGCCGTCCGTGGCAATCATGGTTTCTCATGGGCGCCCCATAAAACGATTTCAACTTTTCTAACTGGCCGTAACTCGGTCAAAACTAGCTCAAATTCAACGATCCAAATATCTACCTTGAAGAGAAAACTCTCAGCGTGCCGTAGAACCCATCCGCGACGCGCTGCGATCAACGGTTCTTGAGATAAATCGCTCGTAAGTTCAGTCGCGATCGCGGCACTTGAAAAGCGTGGGAGTGCAACTCGAAAGTTGAGAATTTTGAGACTTTTCCTCGCGCTGAGTTACTCAAATTTGCGTGGGTTTCACTGGTAGTATTTCCAAGGGCACACAGCGAAAAAATCGAAACTCTGCGATCAAGAAAAATGAAAATGCTGGAGCAGGACGAAAGTGCACGCATTTCAAGCAGTTTTCGCTAGTTCGCTGCTCTCCGGCGCTGGAGATATGGCGTCCTGGTCATCATGCGTGACCTCAGTCTCTTCCTCTCGCGGAGACCTTTCCAGGAAGCCCAAGATTGTGAAGATTGAGTGAGTAGAACTGAAGTTACGTCCCAAAGAACATGAAAATATGCAGAATTTTGAAATTTTCAATCGGCTCTCAAAGGGTTAAAAATGTCCGAGCATGTCAAGCATGTCCGACCCTTCCTACTTACCGAGTGGATGTTATTAAATGTTGTTTGCCAGATCTATACACATGATCCCTTGCCGGCAGCACACTGTGGCTGCGGAGAAACCTGGACACACACACATACAGACAAACATGCACACACAGACACATACACACACACACACACACGACCAACAACAACCTTTTAGTTTACAGCTATAATTAAAGCCCTGCTCCCTCGGCTCAAGCATACCCACGAATATTGAAAATCAGTGCCCTGTCTTCGAACACGGAGTGCTAGGAGCTGTTAAAAAATAAACTTTCACGGCGCGCAAATTTTGCGTTTTCATGAATTGGGCTAGTTCACGATGAGAAACCTATGCGATTATATCTCTTCAGCTGGAGCTTGTACTGTCTACAATCAATATACGGAGCAGTTTGCAGAGCGATTTATGTTCGCGAATGGATGATGGTCGCGAAAATATCGAAATTAAATCTCTAGCGAAAGTTTCTCACTTTACAGTACACACACCATTGCTTTGTAGGACAGCTGTTTGACAACTAAAGCAGCACTCCACTAAGCTCTACTTTAAAGTGTAGAGTAATTGAAGGGTACACACTGGGTGTTGCACTAAGGATACTTACTTGCTTCTGTCCATTTTGACAGCTCCCCGTGTCGGTGGTTCCCTCCATTCCGGTATGACGATGTTGAACGAGAGGGGACGCTCAGTTGCACTGAGTAATGCCTGCAATTAGAAAGAGACAACAGTAGCCATTGTAATTCTGCTCACAAACACACACACGTGCGCGCGCACACACACACACACACACACACACACACACACACACACACACACACACACACACTGCCCGCACGACTAGAGACTAAAAAAAAAGGAGTGACAGTCTTATTCACAGCAGATTGACTGCCCATGACCTACGCCACCAACGTAACTACATCCGCTCACTGAATGGCATGTCGAGCCCACTGTATATGCGGGCGGCACAACCAGTATTCTCCAGTGCACGAGCAGAACGAGAGTGCGAGCATCCGTACCTCCATATGGTCTACCATGCGCTCGATGACCTCTTCGCAGAACGGTGGGTTTGCCGCCAGCGAGCCCTCGACAGGGCGAAACGAGAAGAATGATCTGTGAGAAAACGTATCAAACAGCAAACACAATGCCATTGTACAATGTGCAAGCATAAGAAACGTAGTGGGCATACACACCGAGTTGATATCAGCTGTGAGTTTACTATACCTGAAGAGCGCCCAGAGCGTGTAGCTCACAGTTCCTAACGTCTAATGTGAATTTTTTCCTTTCTTTCTAGTGTGAAGCATCTGTGCGCTATACTTCACAAATTGGAAAGTTTGATTCGGCAGGAAAACTGTTCTGTGTGTGTGTGTTTGGGTAAGTGAGAGAGAGAGAGAGAGAGAGAGAGAGAGAGAGAGAGAGAGAGAGAGAGAGAGAGAGAGACAGAGAGAGAGAGAGAGAGAGAGAGAGAGAGAGAGAGAGAGAGAGAGAGAGAGAGAGAGAGAGAGAGAGAGAGAGGAGGAGGGAGGGAGGGAGGGAGAGAGAGAGAGAGAGAGAGAGAGAGAGAGAGAGAGAGAGAGAGAGAGAGGGAGGGAGGGAGGGAGGGAGGGAGGGAGGAGAGAGAGAGAGAGAGAGAGAGAGAGAGAACGCCATAGACAGACAAACAGATAGAGGAAGCCACTACAGTGCTAATCATCAAGGTAAACTCACCCTCGGGAGCCAAACACACTGTCCGTGTTGGCATACAGCGAGCAATACTGTGGGAAGTAGCAGTTGAGCGGTGACGCAAAACACTCCATCGTTACGCCAAATTCAACGTGAAGACAGTGAAATGCTGCTACTGGCAATGCACCCTGCAGGTTCACTGCCGACATGTCCCCAAGTAGAGTCTGTGATGAAACCGACAAAAAGCCAACACTTCAAATTAATTCAAACAGTAGTTTGGAGGCGGTGGGAAAAACAGTTTCGTAATACGTATTCGCATGCAGCGACGCAAATCCACACAATTCAGTAGACACTTTTTCTATCAAACGTTTTCTTTCCCTTCTCTTCAGGATAGTACAGGGAATGTTGGAAATTAGAAAAACACATAACTATATAGAGAATGAAAGAAAGAAAAAGTCAACACTTCAACATAGGTGTTAAAAATGATTAAAGTGTTAAAAACTCAAAAACAAACAGCTGCAAGTTGTAGACAAACACGTTGAACACATCAGGGAACACTTGTTGAGTTTTTAACACTTTAATCATTTTTAACACCTATGTTGAAGTGTTGACTTTTTCTTTCTTTCATTCTCTATATAGTTATGTGTTTTTCTAATTTCCAACATTCCCTGTACTATCCTGAAGAGAAGGGAAAGAAAACGTTTGATAGAAAAAGTGTCTACTGAATTGTGTGGATTTGCGTCGCTGCATGCGAATACGTATTACGAAACTTCAAATTAACTACATGTATGAATAAAAACTAGCCGCGCTTTTCAAACACATCAAGGCAAAGTAGGTTCAATTTTCCAAAAAAAGTTTTCTTGTGATATTCGTCAGTTGGAATAGATCACAATACGGTAAACTAGCAGGAACGATTGAGTGTATGGGAAGAATGTGAAACTGTGAAACATTATAATTGATAACTTAGCATCATGAAGCAGTCATATTGCGCATGGGTTACCTCGTAACGTTTCAGCATGCAGAGCAGACGTTCCCGGAAGTAAGCGAGCTCCGGATCGAGCTGCGCACACGTGGCCTTGTATAGTCGTTCCTGTGTGCGCAGACAACAGATGAAAACATTTACAGTTGCAGCCGAATTACCGACATGCAAGCAACAGGCCCGACCTGTCCGAGCATCCGCTCTTGGAGACAGCACACACACATACCACTGGAGTAGGGGTGTCATCGAGTAGTTGGGTGCCCGTGTTACCCGTAAGTATTTGGGTAGCAGTTTGCTCCTGAGAACCCGATCGGGTAGTTGGAGTACGGTATTTTCGCAAAGGCGCATGTAAAAAGCACGGCTACGTGCTTACTGCACACTTTCTATGTTGCACAATTGCACACTCACTATACAAACTATGTAAAAAAAAGCACCCGATAGGGTACCCGTGCTACCCGGATAGAAATACCCGAACTCTTTACCCGGCCTAACCCCTACCCGTTGCAGCCCTACACTGGAGTGCCTCAGTGTTATCATCTTACAATTATGACCAGCACACGAAGCACAGAAGCCATATAGTTTCGACTAGGCCTTTCGTACCAGTACTTTTCAAGTCGAATACAATGGTGATTAACGTTGTTTGCTTGCTGCCATGTTAATCACCATTGTACGCAAGGCCTAGTCGAAACTATAATATAGTATGGCTTCGGTGCTTCGTGCGCTGATTTGCTTCCCTCCAACTATGAATCTATAATAATTATTAAGAGTACACAAGGTCAGTAGAGCTACGCCGGTGCAAAGATTATCATAGCTAGAGAAAAGAAGGCAGTGACCGGGTGGTCAATCATTGGTCAATCAATGATTGATCATGGGTGGTCAATCATCATGTATGGGCCAGACACACGTGCACTCATTCTGGTCCATGTATCATCTTTTGCAGGCCACGGCCAGATGTGTGATGCTAACGTGTCTGATGCCAGATATAGGTAGCTCAGCGAGTGGTGCTGTTTTCAGCAGTCAGCAACGTCCATGGCATGTACACACACACACACACACACACACACACACACACACACACACACACACAGGTGCACAAACACATACCGGTACTTACCAGTTTTTGGAAGTGCGCTTCGGCTATGGAGCACTTCATGCCACCTGTAGACACTGTGACAAGATTGCTGCTACTAATGGCGCCATCCCTTGATAGATTGCATGTGACATGAGGCACAGCTGCAAGAGCTGTACGGCAGTTGTTGCATGGCGCACCGTTGGCTTGTCGTAACCTACACACAGAATATATGTGAGACAAAACGTTATGCAACTTCACTTAAACTAATGAAGTCACAGGTGTTCTTTTTCATGCGTGAATGATTGGTTGTACCACACAAACACACACACACACATACATGTATATGCCCATCACAAGAGGCACACAAATCTACAAATGCACTGGATGTGCACCCACAGATTTTCTCTTTATAGCAACGGTAGTGGATCTGATTCTGAATAAAACCGGGCCACACACACACACCACACACAGCCATGGCCCTTTGGCTGTATATAAGGCTCCTCGTCCTTGTCCCGAGAATACTACACCCCACGCGTCTACTCGCATAACTCCCCGGAGTGCACAGGTCTGCATTGATTGTGTCCCTGGAGAAATGAAAACATTACACCATCCTAGCTCCAAACGAAGTACTATACGCCCATACCCAATATTATCCGGTCCCACCCGCCCTGTAAGCATACCTTGCCAACTGTCTCCGCCGCTCATCGGCGCGTGCACCCTTGCTCCAGCCACGGCCGGCGGGCACGCGGATCGTTCTCTCTGTGCACTTCTCCGTGCACACGGTTGATAGTTGGGCTCCACCGGGTCGCACAGCGGTTGACTCCCCATGGCTGTGGGCCGAGATGGCAGTAGGCCGGGTGGACTTGCTTGGACTGGCACTGTCCGGCATGAACGGGGGCACTGCGGCGCGACACGCTCTGCCGACTTCGTCATTCCACGTCACGGCGGGCGAGCAGCTGGGCGTGATCTCATGGTCATCGTCGACTGGCGGCGACTCCCAGCCATTGCTCTTCCTAGTGTTTAGGCCAAACAAATACGAACTGACACCACGGCAAACGTCGTCCACCTCTGAAAAGATCACCTTGTCCACGATAGGCTTAAGTGCTTCGACAAGCTGCTTGCAGTTTACCTGAGCAGCGGTGAGAACAGAAGATAGAAACCCAGCGTTAGGGGAAAATTATACCCCATAGAAACGGACTGACTGGTCAGTTTGAGCACTCTAGCAAGATAAGTTTGGGCCTGGTTTAAATTTGGCTTTGGAAATTTTACTTTCCATTGCCATCAGGTTCGGCCTCATTTTCTCTGCGCTGCGCTGATGAGTCCACAAAGGACGAAACAGCATGGTGTCCGCAGGTTGAGTACGCCATAGATAAAGGCGCGGCTCAGGACACTAAGCCAAAACGGGCTGATGACAATGACAAAGACCTGGCTGGCTGAGGGCGGCAAACTCACCACAAGCGCTAACAACTCGGCTCCTGTTGGGCTGCCAGAGATCTCTATCAGCTTCATGCATGCCGGTAGCTTGTTCAGGAGCACACCGGCCTCCAGCGTTGATAGTCGCTCGCATTTCTCTGTCCTGTGAAGCGCAAACAGATCAAAACAACGGTGTCTATAGCTAGCAGGCTGCACAGTCATAAAGTACCGGCGGGTGCCGAAGAACGGAGTGCCGAAGAGCAGAACAGTCTAGAGTACCACAAAGCATAGCATATCAATGTATACACGCTGTGACTCAAGTATGCATAGCCTCCAATACATGAACACAACAACGGTTCGGCGACCTACAGAACTGTAGGCAGCAGGCTACAAAGTCATACAGCTTCTTCAGGCTTTTGAAGTTTCAAAGCAAAGTCCCGTCTAAAAAAATGGCTCTGAAGCGTGATGTGCTGCAAATCTCTCTCACCTCTTCTCCAGTTCTCTTTTCACACTCGAAAAGTAAAACTTGTAGTCGTTGAGCCCGGATCCATTGGCCGGCACGCTCAAGATGGCATTACTCAGCTCTCTGTGCATGCACGGTGAGACCTCATCGGCGCTCAGTACGGACGGCATGCCTGAGCTATCCGGATGACGAACGCTGCGCTCCATGAGCCAGCGATCAAACGATTGGCGTGGAGGTGATTGGCCTGGCAGCAAGGAACAGAGACATGGATATTTAGTATAGGGTGTCCCAAATCAGTGTGTCACGCATTCTGAAGTTTGATGTGGTATTCTTTATTTTTATTTTTTACTTCACCAAGCGAACAGGCAATGATGCCTTCTCAGTGTAGTGTAATGCTCGTTGTACAATAAATCGTTCTTGTCTTGTCCACAGATTCCTGCGTGGCTTGCAGCCCGACCACAACACTCAGTACACCCACAGAATCCAGAGCTGCTATGCTATTGACAGCACCGCTAGCAGCAGCGCGTAGGCTAGCTAGTAGATACAGTGAGTGCGTTCGATTATGCGCGCGAATCAATTCACGAATCGATTCGCGCTATTCAGATCACCCCATGTGAATAGGGTAAATGGATTCCGAATCGATTCCAGTGCTCATGACATGAAAATCGAACGACTTGAATGCATGCGAATGGATTCATAAATCGATTCAACTGCATAATCGAACGCAGTCAGTGAAACCTGTCTAAGGCCACGCCGTTTTTTTTCTATGTTTCCTTATTCGATGAAATCAATGAGGGAGGGCGAAAAAATAAAAAAAGCCATCCAAAAAAACAGTGTACATGCATTGCATTTGTGTACAGTGAAGCGAGGCGGCACTGTTTGTGTTCATGTACATTGACATGTACATGAATACATGAGTGTATCCCCTCTGCCATGCTTGTGGTCCAAACACAGGCGACATGATGATTGTGTGACCATGGTGACTTGCGGCCCAGCTTATTGCACGCACATGTAGTACAATCAGTCATGTACAATGTACATGTGTGTGAGCTGAGTTACATTTTCCGGTTTTCTGGGTTTGCATTAAATTTGTATTGCATTTTCAAAAAACAAAATTGTTCCGTTTTTTAATTTTTTAATTTTTTAACCCTTTGAGACCCCACTGAAAGTACGACAATTTACGCACCTTCAAATAACATGCACTTTCGCTCGTATCTCTATGAAACATTCACCAATTTTTACAAACTAACCACCAATGGAAAGGTATTTCCAAGACGGAGAGAATAGTACCACGCTCAAGCCAACTACCTGCACAGCCTCTGCTCTGCGTGGCCTATAATGCCGCCCAAAACAGCAGCCGTGCGCGAACAGCTTCAGAAAAGTTCAAACAGCCGCCATTCCATTCTCCTTCATCGCATCGACTTCAAATAAACTACAGCGGAAAGCTCGTTTCAAGCGCAAAATATTGGTGTGCAGCATGCTTGAGTATGACATACCATTCCGGGGAAATCTCCTGCCAAGTGCAGCGTGAAAATTTGAATTTTTCGATCTGAGTGCATTTTTCAGCTTGTCTCCGACTTCGAGTCTCACCACGGCGGCATCGTAACTCCTAGAGACTTCGGATAACTTCAACGTTATAGCCAAGGGTCTTCTCGAAACGGAGATACTTTGTTTATGAAAATCGGTGAAGGAACACCAGAGATATACTTATTTTAGTGTCACTGTATACCAAACGATCGAATTCGATCGTTGGGGTCTCAAAGGGTTAACTCCGGCTGTGAAATACATGCGCGCGGGCCGCGGGGGACGCGAAACATAGATAAAAAACAGTGTGGCCTAAGCTTAACCCTTTGTGTACGGACTGTACAACTTTCGATCCCCTGGGATCGAAACTTTTCAAATTTTCAATCGATCGTAACTCAGTCATTTCTGGGTTATTTCCAAAACCTAAATTATGTAGGTCGAAGAGAAAAACCCCAGCTGTCCATTGAAACAATCGCAGAAACACTCTGATGTGCGGTTCCTTAGTTACGAAGCTCGAAAGTCAAATCGCGGCAATTGTCGCTCAATAGCCGCGTGCGCAGACTTGAATAAGGGATTTTCCCATCTTTCTGGGCATCCAGTGACGTAGAAACATATTCAAAATGGCAAACGGACTCGTGGCAGATTGTGAAATTTTTTTGGAAGTAAAAATTAGTTGTTACAAGCAAGGAGAGCGAAATGGCTGATACAAGACGACTTCTGTCGGAATATTGGCGTTGCAACTAAGACGCTGGGCTGTAGCGCTGGAGTTTTGACCTTCGTGGTGGCAAGTGTGGGCTCAATGTGTTCCTCTTGCGACGAGCTTTCCAGGAAGCTCAAGATTGAAAAAATCGTCAAAAGGAGACCAAAGTTATGACCCGGAGAATTATGGAATTTGAGGCGAGTCGAGATCAGATTCAGTCTGCGTACATTTTTTCAGTACATAAAGGCTTAAAATGCTTACTAAAACTATGTCAGACTCACTGTACAGTACTGTATGCATGCATGTAGGAGCCCACGATCGATGGCATTTACAAAAGTTAGATGACTACGAAGTGTTCTTTTTTCTCAGTTTAATTGAGTTTATACAAAAGAAAAAAGGACCAAGGAACTGCAAGCTGCGCTATAATGTCCAATTACACCACCAGTTGCTAAACAATCAGCTCAGTTTACGAATATCATTCCCTTGCGAAATATGGACTCAGATGGAGAGCCAAGGTTTAATTTATACAAAAGAGAAAGACCATAAACTTGCGAAATATAATTGATTTACAGTAATTTGCTGTCCCCTGAGTTACGCACGCCGTAAGCTTACCCATGTGTTTGCGGCACATGCTGGCATAGTGGTGCTGCAGCCTTCTCATGTCCTCCTGCAGCTTCTGTTCCGCCGCGGGACTGCAGGGCCGGTATAGTGCGGTGCGGCCGTGAAAGCCGTCGTCAGACGTGCGGACTGCACACGCGACACTGTCGTCACAAATCCTAGAGGACACGAAACGCACGCCAGAGCATGAACGAATAATTATAACAGTTATACGCACTTGCTGTCTGATGATCGCTAAAGCCGTGAACTCAAGAGTCGCAGCAGAAACGCTTTGTTTCCTTCTTTCAAGTTTGCGTATTCGGCTCTGCACCTAGGTGCATTGAGCACTGTCACGAGCTACCAGAACTCTCCCCAAGTACAGGTTCTCCCTCGTTATAACGAGTCCGATTAGTACATAAACCCCGTTAGTAAATAGAAATCCCCTGGCGAAACGTGGTCTGTACAACTGTTTACAGGTCCGGTTACAACATAAGTCGATAGTACATAAATTTCGTTATAACGACCCTTTGCCTGAGGTCCCCGGAGTGCCAAACCCTCAGTATAAGACAATATTGACCGTGAAGGACCAAGGCCAAAACATGTAGGATAACGCAGGAAGACGCAGCGTATGATATCTATGTATTTGTAGATATGGACGATCTTTTGCATCGAAGGAAGAGCTATGTTGGAGATTTTCGATTATCTTCTAACGAGTTCAAGCATCGAAAATTTATGGTGTATTGGGGGTAGCCCAGGTAAGTACGAATTAGTGCCTATTTCACCTTTAGCTGCAAGTCCTGTTACAAGATACCGTATTTCCGCGCATATAAAGCCATGGCGTTATAGGTGAAACATCGCTGTTTTGGACCACATTTTTTTACAGAAAATAGCCTCGGATTTAACGCCATGGCGCTAAAAGTGAGAGATGCGTACATGCAAACAAATCGGCAGAGTATGAACTTCGAGTACTCGTACAGTGCCGTAGCACGTTCATGTCGAGGATCCATGTACTTTCAATTTTCCCTGAAAATTTCAAATTGTTTACCTATTGTGTACAAGGTGGCATGTGACAGTGGGGATGGGTACATGCAGAGAGAATCACCGCTACTGTAGGTTCACTGAAAGAACTGAACTCACCTTTAACACCAGATGCAAATTCCTCCACATTGAATTTTGTTCACTTATAACGCCATGGCTTTATAAGTGAGGGTGGCCTTATATTCGGATATAACGCCATGGCTTTATATGCGCGGAAATACGGTAAGTCTCGTTATAAGGGGCCGTATGTAATTATTGAACGTTTTTCACCAAACAAATTATTTTAGTTTAGACCCAACCCCTCCCTCCCTCCTCCTCAGAACGTAAAAAAAGTTTGACATATGCATGCATAATACAACAAAAGTTTCAAGTGTTCAACTGCTCCTATGGCCATGTACATGTATCAATGTTTTCTGAAACGAAATTGGTCAACCCCCTCCCACCCCATAACGAAATTATTTCGTTCTGTGAATAAAGTTCGATGTTTATGGACGACCCCTAAGATAACTTTTTCGATGGCCCAGAGATTATCTACTAACGAGGGAGGACCTGTATTACAGCTGTGGTGCAATCACTTTGCAATGGCCAGTATTTTGCTTATTAAAATCTCGTAGCTGTACAGATGAGGCCGGGGTGGCCGAAACAGCTAGCTGTCTACTGCATTGGGTATGTGTACAGCTATATCGCAGACTTTTGCAACCAGTTGTGATACCTGTCTAAGCACAGGGAAAAAGCCAGCACAAACCTAACTGATAAGGGCCAAACAGCAAGGGAAAACATATCGTCTCTACGGCTTAGGCATCTCTAGCCTTTTCCGACTCATAACATGCTCTACAGCTTCGGGACACCACTGCCCCCACGCTCCCAGCCAGCTCTCTGCAGATGGACGCCTAGATCGGGACTCAAGCGGTACGGGAATATCCTTTTACTGGATTCGAGCACTTTGGTGGACACGCTGCCATTGGCAACGGCCGGCCAGCAGAATACGCAGAAAGTGCTCGAAAGGAATGATAATAAAATGCTGACAGGATGTTACGTGATCCAAGGAATTCTATCTGGGTGCCCTTTGATGCCAAGCAAACTAAATCCCGTCAGTCTCGTTCAATCAGACTAGCGCTTACTGTACAGGCTGAACATTTCGTCGGTCAATAGTTTCGTCCAACTCCAATGAAAGGGAGTTCGTCTGGCTGTAAATTTCGCTCATGGATCATAAGAGTGTATTGAAAAGCTGGCCAAATAGACATTAGTCCGGCATTTAATTTAGTCCAAAACCTCATTGGACGAAAAAGACTTCTATAATTAAATTCCAGACGATTTCTGCTTATACAGTGCGATTACGCCATTGCTTCAGGTGTTTTCTCTGTAGTGGCAAATCTGTGGCATCACATGCATTGACTAACTGAGCCACTTCCACTGCATTTCCTACAGGAAGCATGGTGGATGATGCCATTCGCGCAATCACCATTGCTTGAAGGGATGGAAATGCCCATCACCAAAAAAATCGCACACCCGCGTCGTAGTTGCTTTATATTTATTTTACTTCACCAACATTGCCACCGGCTACGCAAGTGTGTTGAGAACACACAACCAGCATAGGAAGTTTGGCTTCTGCCAGGCCACCGTCATGCCTATCAGTGCATTGCTTAATTACTAACGCTAATAACTTATCTGACAAGTCACACGTCATTCGTGTAACGGGTACGTAAAAAAAAATAGCAGCTATTCCAAAGCAGACCGAAGAGCTAGCATCGCTTTAGCTATCCAGTACCGGTATCAAAATAGGCAAAGGGGAGATCGTCAGACAAAGACCATCTCCGAGACTGTCCTAACACTCTTGACTCTTGCACAAACAATATCACTAGACACAATGAGACAGTAATTTTAAAATTATTTTCGATATCACTAGACACAATGAGACAGTAATTTTAAAATTATTTTCGATTTGACATACTGACAACGTTATTTTACTAGGATATACTTTTAAAATAAAAAGAGATACAAAGAATTCGCAACTGACCTGGAAAGACCTGCCATGATCGACGACGACAACAGGGAAATATCCAACTCCAACACGGCGACTGAGAGCGCAACAAATTACTTGTGCAGATCGATGTCGTTCAGATAACTGCTTCAAAAATACTAGCCAGTACTGCCACTAGCCCTGCATGCTACAAACTTCACCAAGGTTTTTGTCGTGCCTCGCTCGCTTGAATCAGAACCGAGGTATTTATGTGCTAGCGCGTTCAGCGTGGCCGTGGATACGCACTACTACGTGACGTAGATGTACGCAAGGTCAGCATGCACTGGCACTGCACTGACATGTCGACAGCACATTCACAGTCAGCAGTACGACTCCGAGCCTACGCCTACGGGTAGTACTACCGTAGAATCCCGCGGCGCGGATAATTAGGCTTATCTGTTTCACAAGGACATAGTCATTTCGGTGGGCTTATACAAGAACATGGGCTTGTACGCGGGCGCATGCCCGCATGGGCTTATACGCCGACACCAACATTGTGTTATTGAAAGTGCCAATGAAGTGAGAAGTACATAAGTCATTGCTGAAAGCCACTGTGCAAACAAAAACAACCGATGATTGTGTTGAAATGTACAAACAAACAAAAAAACCCCGAAACACTCGTACTACGTACATGTACAATCATCATACACATGATACATGTACATGGTATGACCAAGAGTCCATAATTTATGGACTCATGGTACAATTATTTAGGCCCATGCCGGCATGCCATGGCATGGGCTTGTAGTCGACGAAGCCTTGTGATGTTCGAACTTTCCCTGGGCTTATGCGCGGGCATGGGCTTATACGCGGGTGGGCTTATCGGTACTACACTCAGCCTTCTTCTTACGTGCCCGTTGGCGTAGACTCCACAGTCCACGCAGACCGTGCACTAGCACTGACTGTACTCTCGTCTGTAGACTTGTAGATCTACCCCCACAATATTGCCATAATCATAAGTAGACTGTAGTCAGACTCATGCTCACGACGATAGATACATGTACTGTCATTATTATTAATTTTTTATTGTGTATGTGCCACGCACCACGTAAATGCACTTGCCAATAATAATGGGAGAGCGCTGCTAGCCCTCGAAACTCTAGTCTAGAGTACAAGTACCCGGTAGACGGTGTAGACTATTTTTAAAAGCACTAAGTCTTGTACCAAGAGTACATAAACCTACTCTTGCTTGTACTTGTAGTTGTACTGTACAGTAGACTGTACACAGTCTATCATGGTCTACTACGGCCCGGATCTATTATCATGATCATGCATGTGGAAGGCGGGAGTGCCCCCCCCCCCCCCCCCGCCTGTCTTAGCGCGAGCTTCGAGCTAAACAGTGTAAAGATCATGTCGCCCACTCATTTCCTGTGTTTCCCCATTTCTTCGAACTCGCTCAGCTTCTGCTTCGCTCGTGCTTCAGCTCCACGCTGTAGTAGGTAGGTACATTTTTATTTGAATTCGCAGAACCAAACGGGCGGTGTCGCCCAATTACATGGAAGCGAATGGAAACAGTAAAATATTGTAGGAAATAGCCTAACACGATAGCAGGGTGTAGTACAAAGCAAAGAACGCTCAGTCAATGAATAACGTTAACGTTAGAATACAACAACGGGGAGGCGGTAAACAGCACATGACTGGTACTGTGGTCCAGTGTGGAGTACCGCAAACGTTCAAAGATTCCTGTAGTGTTCAGTAGTGGGTGCTACTGCTAGCAAGTCTGAGTTTAGTTCTCTTGTCTTCTTCCAGCAGAATACTGCAAACTCTACAGCGAGTTTCTTTTGCGTCGAGACAGACAGATCGTTTTAGTCCTTTCTTGCCGTCGTCTCATGAGCGCCCGAAAGCAACAGTATCCTATGTTCTTGTCGTTCCATTTTCTGGCGAACTCATTCACCGACTACTTCTTCCTTTATGAAAGCTTCAGGTGGTTGAGTTCTCCCACTTGCGACAATCATGCCTTGGAAAAGAACAGGATATTACTAAGGTATGTACAGCCAGTGCAGTGATGACAGTGTACTGCACTGCAAAAAGCACCTGCATGCACTGGGCGTAGTTGTTGTTTGTTTTGTCGAGAAAGAATCCCTTTGATCCCTTTCGCACTCGCGCGGTCCCCACGGGCGCAGCACAGAAACGGGTCTATTGAATTCATTTCTTGGTCGATTTTGACAACCAATACGTCGTTGTTTTTCTTTTTTCACTGGCTATCCTTTCTCAGCTTCCGAATTGCGATGCCGTCTACCTGGAAAGCCTTGAAGTGAAACGAGTGGAGGCCGGTTTCGGAGGTAATTTTCGGCCAAACAACAATCAAATCGAAAAATTCGAAGCGGACAATCTGTTGGTATCTATCGAAAGAAGACGTTGGTCCAAAAAAAATTTGGACACAGCCAGAGGATCCAGAGGAGCCAGAGGAGCCAGAGGATTTCTTGGTCGATTTTGACAACCAATACATCGTTGTTTTTCCTTTTTCACTGCTATCCTTTCTCCGCTTCCGAATTGCGATGCCGTCCACCTGGAAAGCCTTGAGGAGCCAGAGGAGCCAGACGAGCCCGAGGAGACAGAGGATTTCTTGGTCGATTTTGACAACCAATACGTCGTTGTTTTTCCTTTTTCACTGGCTATCCTTTCTCCGCTTCCGAATTGCGATGCCGTCCACCTGGAAAGCCTTGAGGAGCCAGAGGAGCCAGAGGAGCCAGAGGAGCCAGAGGAGCCAGAGGAGCCAGCAGTGAGCCAGATGTGAGCCAGATGTGAGCCAGATGTGAGCCAGATGTGAGCCAGATGTGAGCCAGATGTGAGCCAGATGTGAGCCAGATGTGAGCCAGATGTGAGCCAGATGTGAGCCAGATGTGAGCCAGATGTGAGCCAGATGTGAGCCAGATGTGAGCCAGATGTGAGCCAGATGTGAGCCAGATGTGAGCCAGATGTGAGCCAGATGTGAGCCAGATGTGAGCCAGATGTGAGCCAGATGTGAGCCAGATGTGAGCCAGATGTGAGCCAGATGTGAGCCAGATGTGAGCCAGATGTGAGCCAGATGTGAGCCAGATGTGAGCCAGATGTGAGCCAGATGTGAGCCAGATGTGAGCCAGATGTGAGCCAGATGTGAGCCAGATGTGAGCCAGATGTGAGCCAGATGTGAGCCAGATGTGAGCCAGATGTGAGCCAGATGTGAGCCAGATGTGAGCCAGATGTGAGCCAGATGTGAGCCAGATGTGAGCCAGATGTGAGCCAGATGTGAGCCAGATGTGAGCCAGATGTGAGCCAGATGTGAGCCAGATGTGAGCCAGATGTGAGCCAGATGTGAGCCAGATGTGAGCCAGATAAGAGCCAGATGTGAGCCAGATGTGAGCCAGATGTGAGCCAGATGTGAGCCAGATGTGAGCCAGATGTGAGCCAGATGTGAGCCAGATGTGAGCCAGATGTGAGCCAGATGTGAGCCAGATGTGAGCCAGATGTGAGCCAGATGTGAGCCAGATGTGAGCCAGATGTGAGCCAGATGTGAGCCAGATGTGAGCCAGATGTGAGCCAGATGTGAGCCAGATGTGAGCCAGATGTGAGCCAGATGTGAGCCAGATGTGAGCCAGATGTGAGCCAGATGTGAGCCAGATGTGAGCCAGATGTGAGCCAGATGTGAGCCAGATGTGACTCGCCAGATGTGAGCCAGATGTGAGCCAGATGTGAGCCAGATGTGAGCCAGATGTGAGCCAGATGTGACTCGCCAGATGTGAGCCAGATGTGAGCCAGATGTGAGCCAGATGTGAGCCAGATGTGAGCCAGATGTGAGCCAGATGTGAGCCAGATGTGAGCCAGATGTGAGCCAGATGTGAGCCAGATGTGAGCCAGATGTGAGCCAGATGTGAGCCAGATGTGAGCCAGATGTGAGCCAGATGTGAGCCAGATGTGAGCCAGATGTGAGCCAGATGTGAGCCAGATGTGAGCCAGATGTGAGCCAGATGTGAGCCAGATGTGAGCCAGATGTGAGCCAGATGTGAGCCAGATGTGAGCCAGATGTGAGCCAGATGTGAGCCAGATGTGAGCCAGATGTGAGCCAGATGTGAGCCAGATGTGAGCCAGATGTGAGCCAGATGTGAGCCAGATGTGAGCCAGATGTGAGCCAGATGTGAGCCAGATGTGAGCCAGATGTGAGCCAGATGTGAGCCAGATGTGAGCCAGATGTGAGCCAGATGTGAGCCAGATGTGAGCCAGATGTGAGAGATGTGAGCCAGATGTGAGCCAGATGTGAGCCAGATGTGAGCCAGATGTGAGCCAGATGTGAGCCAGATGTGAGCCAGATGTGAGCCAGATGTGAGCCAGATGTGAGCCAGATGTGAGCCAGATGTGAGCCAGATGTGAGCCAGATGTGAGCCAGATGTGAGCCAGATGTGAGCCAGATGTGAGCCAGATGTGAGCCAGATGTGAGCCAGATGTGAGCCAGATGTGAGCCAGATGTGAGCCAGATGTGAGCCAGATGTGAGCCAGATGTGAGCCAGATGTGAGCCAGATGTGAGCCAGATGTGAGCCAGATGTGAGCCAGATGTGAGCCAGATGTGAGCCAGATGTGAGCCAGATGTGAGCCAGATGTGAGCCAGATGTGAGCCAGATGTGAGCCAGATGTGAGCCAGAGGAGCCAGAGGAGCCAGATGAGCCACTGATGAGCCAGATGAGCCAGATGAGCCAGATGAGCCAGATGAGCCAGATGAGCCAGATAGATGAGCCAGATGAGCCAGATGAGCCAGATGAGCCAGATGAGCCAGATAGATGAGCCAGATGAGCCAGATGAGCCAGATGAGCCAGATGAGCCAGATATATGAGCCAGATGAGCCAGATGAGCCAGATGAGCCAGATGAGCCAGATGAGCCAGATGAGCCAGATGAGCCAGATGAGCCAGATGAGCCAGATGAGCCAGATGAGCCAGATGAGCCAGATGAGCCAGATGAGCCAGATGAGCCAGATGAGCCAGATGAGCCAGATGAGCCAGATGAGCCAGATGAGCCAGATGAGCCAGATGAGCCAGATGAGCCAGATGAGCCAGATGAGCCAGATGAGCCAGATGAGCCAGATGAGCCAGATGAGCCAGATGAGCCAGATGAGCCAGATGAGCCAGATGAGCCAGATGAGCCAGATGAGCCAGATGAGCCAGATGAGCCAGATGAGCCAGATGAGCCAGATGAGCCAGATGAGCCAGATGAGCCA